TGATGTTCTTGATGATGATTATGATGTTGATGATGTTGTTGTTGATAATGTTGTTGTTGATAATGATGTAGTTGCGGTTAAAATTTTTGTTAAACTTTCACAAAAGTTATATCAAGTTTTGTTATTTAAAATGTTGTTTTTTTAATGTTTCATTCGAATGTTTCTATATAATATGTAGTCACCATCGTACTAGCTTGTAATTTTTTTATCCGTTAAAGATTTTTTTGTCATTTTAGTACAACACACGCAGTACAAACATGTAGTACAGCAGATGCAGTAGTGCAATATAAAGCGTAAAACAGACACATTGAGTGAAAAACATGTATGTCGGAACAACATTTTGAACTTTTGATTTAAAACGATTCCACACAAGATGTCACTTCATGAGATTGTTCTGATTCGGACCAGAGCAATGTATGTAGGTCATCGGACGAACATGGAGGTCAGATGACCATTTGAAGCACTTATGTAAGCCAGAGTTGAAACTGAGGATAATTTTACTGGTCAGCAATTTTATGCACTCATCTCATTGAAATGTGGCTGGCAGGTAGGAGGAAATTTGCACTGCACTGTTTGCTTGCGTGCGTGCACTAGTTACATAGGACATTTAAAAGGCCTGTGTGACGTCAAATTTTAATTCAGAAAACATTTCTGCAGTTTAAATCACATTCCCATGTTGCGTAAGGTAGATTTCAGATATAAATTAGTACTTGCAATAAAAAATCAAACGAACAATCAGATGGCGTGAAAAAAATGTATTCCCATTTTTCCAATTAATTTAATTTTTAGTTAATTCATATATTTATTTATTTATAAAATGAAGTGACAGTTGATTAGACAGCCGTTCAGGTCAGTGAATTGTGAATTGAGCGGTCAGATGTTCAGTCGTGCGTGCGTGCGTGCGCGTGTGTGTGTCCGTGACGCAATAAATTGCAATTGAGACCTGCTGCTTGCACTGCTCGTCTGCCTCGGTTAACATCATCTCCTCCTTTGCACGCGAGATGCAATGTTATGCAACGAGGCATTTCAAAATGTTGCAATGTGCAACAATATGCAACAGTATGCAACAAAATGTGCCAACATTTGACTCTATTTAACAATATATATCAATGTACCGAATTGTGTACACATGTAAAGTATTTTTTTTTAGAAAATAACATTTTGTAACAAGATATACAATTATTTGTAACAATATTTAACAATATTTAACAATTGGTAACAGTGTTAAACACTAAGTAACATTATATAACACAATTCAACGATATATAACAGTAACGACGTACTATTAAGTTTGCTTGCAAGAGAGTTTTAAATGCAGTACTTAACAATGGTGTTAATAAATTGCAGTATTTGAAATAGAATTAATGATGAAATAAACAAAAACAATTTTGGCAGAGCGTGCAGGGAAAATATATTTTGTAACAAACATTTTCATAATGTAATTCATCCAGTGAAACAAGGCTTAACATCAGTGGTAATAACGTGTGTGATTACATTTGGACAGGACAGCAACAGACTTTCACGGATATTTTAATCTCGTTTTCATGTTTTTCATTTAAAATTTAGTTTAAACTTTCAATGTAAAAATTAATGAGAGTCTGTGACAAAAATGAAAAATATTGATAGGCGATCTTAAATTTCAATTTTCATAAATCGACAAGAAGTTTCGAACTATTTAATTACATGTTCGTCATAAAAACATACATTTGAGTTCTTTTCTGACGTACAAGTATTTACATGAATTCAATAAGATATCACATAATGGAATCAGTCATCAGCTTTAAATATACTAGACGCGCGTATTGTACACACACACACACACACACACACACACACACACACACACACACATTTATTTACACGCTAGAAAATAATGTTTGAAATTTTTCAAGTACGACTACTCTTTAACAAGCCTATAGAAACACGTACATACAGTACCTACGCATACTTGTATACACATACACGCGCAAAATACGCATACAAAAATGTATAGTTGTATTTTTACACACGTACACAAACAGCTGTACGTTCGCGTGCATGGATGTGCGTGAAATGTTGGTGGATACGGACCGCCTAGAGGCGTGGAGTCGGTGCAGAAGAGCCACTTAAGATTGAAATAATTGTATTTAAATGCGATTGTTTTGCTCGCTTGATATGCTTTGCTGTTGTTTCGGCGTTTTTGTTAGTTTGTTGGTGTTGTGTTTGTGTGTTTTTTTATGTCTTGTTGTTGTTGCTGTTGTTGTTGTTGCGTGAGCCTTATATTAGTTCAGATGTTGTTGTGTTGTTTCATTTGTGTGTTGTTTTTGATTCGCTTGTTTGTTACGTTACATTTTGTTAACCTGTACAGTGCGATTAAGTTATACTGCGTTTTGTTGTTTGTTGTTTATGTCGTGTTCACTAGTTGTATTATTGTTGTTTAGTGTTGTTGGCATGTCATGTGCTTATATTGATATTTTTCCATGTCAAATTGTTATAATTAAACAATACATTGAAGTTATAATTGACTATGAATATAGCTTCGTGCTAGCTGGAGGACTTGGTTGAATGTTGAACTGAAATGTTGAGCTATTGCTCTTTAGAAAGAGGAACACTTCTTTTTCTCTTTTCTTTCCAAGTCAATATTTAGGATTTTGAAGCACAAAATTTACCCTCATTAATATTTCAATTTAGGTGTAATTCAGTCAACATGGAATCTAATCGTTATACGGTTAATTATTGAGAATGATGAAAAATATTATATAGAGTAACACGTGGATGTCTTCAAAGGCGTACACACAGCCGGCATACAAGTAAGTACAGGCAAGCAACTTTACGGCATCGTCATAACGTAACATCACCCACCCAGAATCGAACATGCCGATAAACATCTGTTGTACGAACGTACGTACATACATATGTGTACACACACACGTATCAATGTAGTTTACGTACGTATATGTAAATTTGTGCATGTGTGTGTGTGGTGTGTGTGTGTGTGTGTGTGTGTGTGTGTGTGTGTGTGTGTGTGTGTGTGTGTGTGTGTGTGTGTGTGTGTGTGTGATCATACATGTTCATCTCGCCTCATAAATACTGGCTCATAGTCAATCAGCGTTTCCTAGTTTATATCGTACATTAGCTCCATACATCTAACTTTACGTGTGTATGTGATATTTTTTAATTATAAGTTGTACATTTAAGTTTCATTTCCACTCTATTTTTTTAAAAGACTAAACAATGAAATTTGAAATTAATTCTTAAACGCGATTTAAAATGTATTATACTGTAGTACACAAATGAACAGCACTTACATTGAAAAACACACTCACAAACACACACGCACGCACACAAACACAACACACATACCCAAACATGAACTTACACACGCAAGCAAACAAACATGGACACACATACTTAAACACACACACGCACGCACAAACGCATAAAAAGAAACAGTTATAAACATTTATTGGCTTGTGACAGTATTTGTAACAGATGGAGAAGGGTGGAAAAGCATCAATGTGGCAAACAACAATGATCAAGTGTTTGTTTGTTCGTTTGTTCGTTCGTTCGTTTGTTTGTTTATTTGCTTGTATGTATGCATGAATGTTTGTTTGTGTACATGAATGTTTGTTTGTATACATATATGAGGGTTTGTACAGATGTATGCATGTTCGTGCATGTTTGTTTGTTTGTATGTATGTTTGTTTATTTTTTGTTCATTTTGTTGACGTATGGTTGTTCAAAAATATGTAAAGATGTAATTGTATATAATTATGCAATTATTTGAAAGAAGAAAGTTACACAACTACTTCTATTCTAATTGGTTGTCAATTTATGCCTATGTATGCGAACGACTTTTTTCATTATTTTTTTTAACAATTCAGACGCAGCACGTGTTAATTCGCGGGAATCAAGGCGTCACACATTACGTTGAGACTGCTTATATTAATACTATACGTGTCTGACTGACCTGAGTTAAGAAAACCCTCATTGTTACAATATTTCAATTTTATTTTTTTGTACTTGTCATCCTCTTCATCATCATCTTCTCTTTGTCATCATTTTCATCATCTTCTTCATCATCATCTTCTTCATCATCATCATCTTTATCTTCAAAATCATTTTCATCTTTGTAAACATCTTCGTAATCATTTTTATCAGCATCAGCATCTTCGTCATCTCTATCTTCGTCATTTGTATCTTCGTCATCCTCATTTTCATCCTCATCTACATCATCCTAAGACCAACTCTCAAATAATCGGCATTGATGAATACGATGCAATACAAGTCCTATGCTTATTTGAATGAACACTTCAGAGCCTTCAGAAATATTCAAAATTAGGTTCAAAAGTTCAAGATCTTACGCTTGGTTGGTGGAAAGATTCAAATTATGCAGAAATTAATCATAATTGTTGGAATGATTTATAAAAGAAAATAATAAAAAATGATTTCAAAATGGAATTCCTTTGAAACCTGCTATGTTTTTATTCTCCATAAATAATTAATGATTTATCGATTATTTATAAAAATTTTTTTTTTTTCCAAATTATAATTTGAAAAGACGTCTTTAAGAATTAAAAAGTGTCCTAAATTTTATGCTAAAGTTCCATTTTTATAACGTTTTCATTCTAAATAATTTGTTTTTTTTTAAATTAATCTGCACAGTAAAAATCTACAGTTCAGAAGAGTTAACTATTTTTAACACACACACACACACACGCACGCACACACACACACACATGCACAAATTTACATATAGGTACGTAAACTACGTTGATTTGCTTCCAAAACTGAGTTTTACTGCTTTGTAGTAATCAAATCAAGTTATGCCGAACCATTTATTAATTAGAAAACTATTTGTATTAAACAATATCATACTTAAGATTTCATTTGCTAAATCCAACAAAACGTTTTTCAGTTTCTCCATTGCATTGATTATCGCTAAAAATTCAATTATAATTTTGAAAACTTGCAACTAAAATTTAATAAATAAAAGAACAATTTTATATCGTTTAGAAAAAATGAAGCCTCCAGCAAATTCTACCTCTTCATATTTTTCAAATGCCACAAATTGCGCACTGCCACAACTAACTTCAACAACAACTACTACATCAACATTGTACAACAAATCATGGACCAACCACGAACTCAAACTATCTCCATCAAGACATCATCAGCAGCTGCAACATTCGAATCTTCATCACCCATCCTTGCAATCTCCATTGTATCAAAGTTCCACACCAAGGCCTCCTCATGATCCAACCGGCAATAATAACATCAACAACATCGCTCCCAACAACGATGACGACGACGACGACGATGATATTGACAAAAGCAGTAACATCGACGACAACTTTTTATCACATCCTGGTGGTAATTTTTCAAACTGGGCCTCTTCCAGGTCCTTTTACTTAAGCAATCCCAACAGCAACGGCAACAACAACGCAACACACATCTCTTCCAACAAAGCACCGACAACTCCTATAAACCCTTATTATAACATACACAACTTATACAGCAACGAAAACAGCAACAACAATAATATATTAAAGTCTTCTTTCCCGCCGTTCTACGCACCAGACGAGACTTCGTTACTTTCATTCAACAAGGGATTCCCTCTCTCCGAAGATTTTTGTCGATCAATACAATCGAACCACCAAAACCACTCCCAATTAATCCCACCGCCGCCTCTTCACACGCACAACTTCTACCACGGATACGACTCGAGCAGCCACAACCATTCGTCACTGACGTCGCCAAACACGCCCTACATGTTTCCAACCGAACCCTTCCAAAATTCTAACCCTTCAACTCTTGCCCTTCCCTCAGTACTCTTTTCACCATCGACCCTCAACAGCAGCATCAACTTTTTCACCTCCACTTTAACTTCATCAGCGTCCATAGCGTCCGACGTTGACGCCACACGACACCCAGACAGCGGCATTGGCGATTGTAGTTCGCCACTGAACAGCCATCAACAGAGCATCAACAGTATTCATAACAACAACTCCAACAACAGTTACGGCGTAAAAAAATTAAAAGAAAATTATCAGCCTGCTGACAATAGGAGTGGAGTGGTACATGCTGGTGCTGCAAGTCATCATCCAACTACGAATCAAGCCAACCAAACATGCCTGACTCCAAGCGAAAACAACAAAATCGCCAGCACCAATCACAGTAACAGCAATAACCACCAATCTAACAACAGCAACCACAACATTATTTCAAACGGAGATTTAAACAACGTCAACCTACCGCTCTGTCGTGAAAACAACAACAACAAAAGTAACAACAACAGCCACAGCAATAACATTACAATGGAAGGCAAAGAAAACATGAAAACAACAACAAACACGACAACAAACTCGAGCTCTAATGAGGAATTTATGATGGACTCCATGCAACCAACCAGACAGCTGGCTGATATATTTTCTACGGGTTAATATTTTCTGTTGATTAAAAAGCAAAACTTTTGTTGAATCCTAAAAGTGTTGTGACAAGTTTTAGAATGGTTTAATTCACCGTTTTAAGAATAATTATTTTGAGACTGATTTTAAATAAATTTTATGTGCATATTTTTGTCAACACGCTAATGGAAACAATTTCACTGAAGCTTTCTCGTTGGTATTATAGGATTTGGAAAAAAAATTTTAAATTTAATTTAAATAAAGGTTTAAGTTGTTGTGTACCGAATTTGTTCTAATACGAATGGAAAATTGCCATAACTTACAAACTGCTGCCAAATAAGCAAGCGCGTTTGGCCATAAACGTAAACTTCTTAAAATGCGATATCAGTTTCAAAAATATAACTGATAAAAATAATTTAAACAATTATTTTTTTGAAAAATCTTTTTATGTTTAACAGTTTCAGTACAATTTACTTCATATAAAAAAGTGTCAATTGGAACAAACCGATAAATCAGCATTTCAAAATTTAAAGTTCAAATTAAAAATTCAGTCAAAGTTTGTTGACGCTGAACATAAAACTTTAACTTACCTTTAAAAAAATTAGTTTTCAAGACTTGACGACAAAAATTTACAAAAGGCAGTCACATCAGATTGCACGCACGCTCATTTTTATTTTTTTTTTAAATTTAAATTAAGAAACACCATCAAACGTTCAGAATTTTTATTACAAATTAAATTTTGCACTTCCTACGACAATATAGTTTTATTTACCGAGCATGTTATTGTTGGATTGTATCAAGTAGTTTTTAATTGAACCTAACAACATTTTTCACATGTGGTTTGAAATAAGATACCATCTTTGAATCAATTAATAAAACTCATTCCTATAAAAAAACTTGTTTGTATATAAAATTTAAATTATTTTACAAATGCGGCAGCACTGGTAAAATTTTAATTAAGACTCACGAACAAAGTTTAAAAATGAAAGTTGACGATTTTGAAAATTTCAGCATGAAACCAACCTACAGGCTTCACTTCGAACAGCAGGTTCATCGGAGGCTTCCATCCTCACCTCTTCTCTCACCACCATCAACCCGCCCCTCACCTCTACTCCTCACTATCTTCATCATCTTCTTATCATATTAACAATAACGTCAACAACCATCAACATCTACATCAACAACATTTGCAGCAGCAACAACTCAACTCTTTCAACAACTCGTTCAACAACGGCAACAATAGCAATGCGCTTATAGATAGCAACAATAATAACAACAGAACCTTCCCGCCATCTTTAACTGATCACGTGATATATCATTCCCCGCCAAAATTTCTTTCGCAAACAACGATGCTGTCGAACTCAGCGGCCATGTTCAAGGCAGCGTCTGAAATCTCGAGAATCCGGATCAAATCGAGATCAAGCTCAGGTAAGATGTCTTGTAAGACACCTTTTCAGTTGTGTTTATTTAATTTCTACCCCTCATTGTCATAACTTCGCGATGCAAATCTTAAAACACGGTTGTTGGTGGTTGGGAATGCGCAAAACATCGGAGTATTGAAGTAATTATTCATTGGTATTTTGACAGTTACGTTTAACTGATATTGTTCAACATCCTTGTAGAAGGTCGTGAATGTGTGAACTGTGGAGCTACCTCGACCCCCCTCTGGAGAAGAGATGGCAACGGGCAGTACCTCTGCAACGCTTGCGGGCTCTACCACAAAATCAACGGCCAGAACCGACCACTCATCAAACCCAAACGACGACTGGTCAGTGAAAATATTCCACTGTGATGAATTTTTAAAATTTCATCATCGCCATCATCGTCGTCATCATTACATCATCGTCATCATCACTTCATCATCATCGTCATCACTACATCATCATCGTCATCAATCTAAATGGCCAACAACACCGCACCGTTATCATCATCATAAATCGTCATGAACGAGATCAGCACAGATGATAAACAACAACATCGTCATCATCATCATCATCATCAACATCATCTTCATCATCATCATCATTGGTATTAATGACCGTGATCATCATCGTCCTCACCGTCGTTTTGTCATCATATTATTGCATCATCATCATCATCATTTTCATCACTATTATTTAATGGCTATTATTACCAACTTCATCGTCGTCGTCATCTTTTCTTTCTTCATCTCCACCATCATCTTTTTTTGTCTTCTCCTCTCCTTATCATTGATCATTAACGTCATCATTGCCATCATGGTCAGAGAAAACAAAAACATTATCATCTTCATCATATTCGTCGAGTTATCATCATCGTTGTCGTTTTCACCAGCAATTCCATCAACAAACTCGTCATCATCATATTCATCACCACCAATCACCAACCGTCATCCTCATCGTCATCCTCGCCATCGTCACATCACATCCAGTCATCTGCTAGACGAGCAGGTACCACGTGTGCCAACTGCAGTACGAACATGACAACATTATGGAGAAGGAACCAGAATGGAGATGCTGTCTGCAACGCCTGTGGACTCTACTACAAACTGCATAATGTTGGTCGTTGTTGTTGCTGCTACTGTTGTTTGGCCTGCTGTTGTTGTGGCTGCCCTTGAGGCTGCTACTGTTGTTGCGGTGGCTGTTTTTGCAGCTGCAGTTGCTGTGGCTACTAATGCTTTGTAGTACTTTGTTTTGTTGTAAGCAGCTCTTACAAGCCCAAAGCCGGTTACATAACTTTTTTTTATTTTGTTGCAATTTAGCTGAAATGCCACAAATGCCAAACACGACGATGAAAACCTACACACACATACACTTTTTGTACGTACGCTTCAGTGGACAAAACGAAAAGACTGTCTGAGTTAACTTGTTGATCAATTTAAAATGTTGTTATAATGTTGTTGAGTAACACTTGTGTTGTTGTTGTTGTTGTTGTTGTAAAAATTTGCAGTTAATATTATAACAATTGCTTTGTTGTTACATGATTTATTTTAAGTCATTTATTTTGTTGTAGATATGTTAAAAATATCCAGTTTGCTTAGTAAATTATTTTCTGTGTTATTTTGACTGTGGGTTGTGTTGTTGCATGGATATTTTGTGAGTTTGTTTTTGTTATGTTGTAATTAAGTTCTCCTAATTTTTATGTTGTTGTTTCGTGATAATATGAAGGATTGCGATATAAATGTCTTTGTTCTCAGTAGTAGAAACACTCGTGTCGTTTGAAGTTGTTTTAAATGAATAGAAACGTAATGCAGCAGTGTGTTTCTGTATGAAATAAGTTGTAACGTGATGTGGTTGCTTGGTGTGTTTCTCTATGATGAGGAAGTTATAGAAGGTTGTTGCTATTTGTGAATATGTGATGGATGGTTAGAGTTATGAAATTCTTTCATGACCAATTCAAAGGCATCAATTTTTTCCCTTCAGTTCAACATTCTCTAAATAAAAATAAAATTAAATCGATTTTTTTTTCAATTTTTATCTTGAAGGAGAAGAACAAACTGGCCACCAATACACTGACTACCTCTGAAAAACAGCAAAAAATATATAATACATTATTTACATTATAAGCATTGCACGAATTATACACATCAAGTCAACAAAAGACAGCAACAACAATATTAACAACAACAACAATAACAACAACAATAATAATAATAACAATAATAGAAATAATAATAAGAATAAGAAGAACAACTGCATACATTTGGTATGCACGCAAGCCCGGTCAAACAGCAAACGCATTTATTTCTTATCAGCAGAAAGTAATCTCCGGTTGGATTGAGCGCCACGTCTTTTTCCATGTAGATGTTTGTTTGTTTGTATGTATGTTTGTATGTATGTTTGAATGAATGTTTGTTTTTATGTATGTATGTTTGTTTGCATGTATGTTTGTATGTATGTTTGTCTTTATGTATGTATGTATGTTTGTTTGTATTTATGTTTGCATCTATTTATGTTCGTATTTATGTTTGTATGTATATGCGTTTGTATGTTTGTGTGTTTGTTTGTATGTTTGCATGTTTGTTTGTTTCGAATGTACCGAACGAACGAATGAATTATTGAATGAGTATATGAAATACGTCGCAGTAAATGTACATTGCGTAAAAATCTACATTACAAAATCACCCCCAACAAAATCAACAACAACACCAACGACAACAACAACACAATCACAATCTCATCAGCCATGCTTCATTGAGCCTCTTAAAATCATCATTAATGTGAACAACATCAACAGCATAATTTTAATTGCAATGACAAACATCAATAATAATAACAACAACAAATTTTTGAATATTATCTATTTTATCTAATATATCTAAAAAAGAATTAATAATTATTAATTATTGCTGTATTGTATATACATATACGTTGTATCAAACTATAATTTAAAAGACATAAATTGAAGGGTACGGTCCTTAGCAAAAATTAACCATAACAAAACAAATAAGCAAGAAAAATTATTTTATAAAACAAACATGACAACAACAACAGCAATAGCATTATAATAACAACATCTATAACAGCATTACAAAGCTAACAACAATAACAACAACAACAGCAGTAATAAAAACATAAAAGCAACAACAAAAAACAGCAATAACAGCATAACAACAAGAGCAATAAAAACATAGCAACAACAACTGCAAATTACAAATGACATCAGCAACGCCCATGATGTCAGCTCGATTGAGGAATTGAGATGTCGTTTCAAATGATCTCCCAGCAAACATTCATACTCACAGAAGGCATTTACATCAGAAATGTCATGTTACGATACGTGTGCCTGTGCCGCTGCTGTGTTATATGTAGGTTGGATATGCTAAACAACGAATCATTATGCAACAACAGATGCTATGTTTCGTTCCTATTGGTGTTTTTCATTCAAATCTATACTTCAACATTTCAATGCAATTTCTTATGCTCTTGATACAGTATGAAAGTTTTAACTGAAATACAGATGAAAATTCAAGAATCAAAACTTATTTTTTTTTCCAGCGCAAACGAACCTTCTTTATATTAAATGTGAAGCTGACCATTTGATCATCTTCACGTTTAACAAAAATTAGAATAATCTGTAAGGCATTATTTTCAAATTAAACATTAAATCGAAATAAACTTGTTGAGAATTTCAAAAAGGGGTTTGACTCGCTTTCATGGTTAACCGTGCGAACAAACTTAGATCGTGACCTCTGATTGGTTACTCGGATTAAAATCATTGATACGATTGGTCAGTATGATATGATTTTTTTATGATTGGTCAACACAATCGTAATTATTATATGACTGGTCGGCGTGGTCTTGTATCTTTAAGGTAATTGTTCAGTACTGTGCGAACCTCCGACGATATTTGTCTGAGTCTACAATTTATATCTGTTTCAAGTAAAAATCATTAACAATTTTGAAAAATAACATTCATCTTATTAATAAGTAGACTTAATTTATATCAGTGTTTGTCAACGTTTTTTCTCCATTTTCACTCACGAATGTACTCATAAATATTCTTTATTTTCTATTAATAACTTTTTATTTAAAGTTACATTCTAAGTATTGCTTTAAAAATTTAGACAAATCATTTATTATTACGTTGCATCCACATACATCTTCTTTTGTAACTTTGAAATTTATCCAGCAATTTGGAAGGGGATGAAGTCAGTTCCAAACTCTCACGAAAGGCAAATAAGTATTGGTGCAAAATATTGCTAGATTGAGCCTGAATGTGCGAATAACTAAATGAGAGTTCGCTTTAAAACAATGTGACATTGGCATATCGTTCATTTAAAATTTACAACGGCAATGCTACATAACAACTAATTCAATTTAATTTTAAAAATAAAACTTTCAATTAATTGTTTCACTTAACAAACTTTTAATCTCAAAGCTCTAAGGCTTGTCTTTTAAATACACGCGTGTTTGTATGAGTTCACTTTATGTTCACACATGTTCATCAAGGTGAACCGACCAATCACGATGAAGAAGGAAGGCATACAGACAAGAAACCGGAAGTTGTCATCGAAAGGCAAGAGACACAGACGATCGGGTGACACAACTTCGACCAACCAGCCCCTAATTCACGGCTTCCCTGCACCACCCCCCTCAACATTTCCTCCGCCCTTCCACCCGCCCACCTACAACAACACTACTAACAACAACAACCTTCTTGTTCACCATCACCATAACAACAACATCAACGACATGTTCATGACGTCACAGCCACCGATGTACCAAGCGGTCAACAACTTTCGGGAATACCAAAGTAGTTTCGGTTCCTATTTTAATAATGGGTTTTCCCAGTTTTCTGGCTCGTCGAGAATGACGTTGGCGGGTGTGGATGGATTTTGAGATGACGGTTTTGTAAATATTCATTCAATCTTATTATTATTGTATTGGTAGAAATATTGTAAATAATAAAATCGTCAGTAACGTTTCGTTATCGTTGTCGACGTCGTTTTCATTGACTTCATACTTTTACTAATTTTCATTTTGTCGTTGTTGTTGTTGTTGTTGTTGCGTTGTTATCATTACAAACATCGTTTATTATCATTATTTGATTATTTGAATCAACCATATTACAAAAGCACACACACACACACACACACACACACACACACACACACACACACACACACACATATATATATATATATATATATATATATATATATATATATATATATATATATACACACATACACACACATACACATTCACATACACACACTCATATTATTAATGTATATCTCGTCACTGATACATCAAAAATTGTAAAATTAAAAGTTTGACTTTGTTGACCACCACCACCATGCAATATAGACGTACCTACAGTACCACGGCACCAGCACCATACATATAATACATGCATATCTACACTACTTAAAAATGTATACACTTTACGTTTTTACCTGGTAATTTTGTGGCAATATGTGACATTTACAATGTAATATTATTATTTAGTATCTTATATATGAGTGCAATCTATTTACTGTGAAATATTTTTACTAATCTTTAACAAATTAGAGTTTATTATTCAATATAAATTAATATAATTACTACTAAATATACTAAATACTATATATATATATATATATATATAATATATATATATATATATATATATATATATATATAATTTTATTCGGCTTTTTTAATCCTAAATTTTTAAGACGAAAATTTGACACGGATTGAACCTGGCGTGAATATGTATAATAAATAACTGACGTTAAAATTAATTGCATCTGCGGTTTCACAGAAAAAAAACACCTATCCATTTATTCAGTCATTCGTTTATTCAGTCATTCATTCATTCGTTTATTCATTCATTCCTTCATTCATTCGTTCGTTCATTCAATCGTTCGTTCGTTCATTCGTTCGTTCATTCGTTCATTCATTCATTCATTCATTTATTCATTCATTCATTCATTCACTCATTCTAAGTAAATAATGTTTTTTTTTGCAATATTCAGTTTCGCGAAAAATAATAATTGAAAAAAAAATTGTAGCATTGAAATGAAGGACAGAAAAATTACTCTGTTTATTTTTTTATTTTTACGAAATCTCAGTATTTATTTGTAAAACATGGAAAAAATGTTTTCATGATTTGGCCTGCCGTCTACGTCATTCCAGTTTCCTCCACCCACCCAGGTTCTTTGCACAGATCACACTTTTGGTTTAAAATAAACCAAATATTTTGGCGTAATTAAATAGGTTTGCCGATTGAATAAAATTAGCAACTAAAATACATATATTAGTCAAAGATTTAAAATATATAGTGTTAATTATACTAAACTAATTGGAAAAAGTCTGCAATCTGCTTATGTAGGTTTATATTAAAAAGTACATTTAACGCTGTAATTAATATTTGAAATTTTTAATAATTTTCAAACGTTATATCATCGTGTTAAAACAAGATCGGTGAGAAATGTATTGCAAGAAAAACACATTGCTATGACGACATGAAGTTTATCTTAAACAACGATTTGATTAAAAAAACCAAAATTAAATAAAAAAGATTTGCTTATCACTCCATTCAGATTGATGATATTTAAGAGTAGAAGATTTCTATGGCAACGGTAAAGAAGTATTAAAATAATCATAAGTGACGCACTTTACATTTGAGCGCCGTTCATAAAGCGCCTTAACAATCCCGAGCGCGCACATAGCCTCCGTCTTCTTTAGTTTGCGCGAGATATCTTCTAAGTTTAACAACACGCAAGTTTGTGATCAAACATGCCGCCAAACGGTTCTCATAAAACGACCAAAGAATCTTCATTGAGAAACTTATCAAAGAACATCTCCGCGGAAAACAAAAATGTTGCAACAAATAACAACGGGATCTCAAGCAACAAAACTAACACCAAGTACAACTGCAAAGTGAGAAACAGAGAATGGAGTAGTATTAGCGTCGGTGATTTGTATCGACCTGTGAAGCCAGCTTCCAGTAAGTTTCTTCAGAAGCGATGGGATGAAACAATGTTGGATACCCATCACAAGAGAGTTTGCTCTTGTTTTTTATGCTGTTAAACAATAATTTTTTTTACAATAATTTATGCAAACGTTTGATTCTATAGTTAAAATATGTACAGTACAATATAGAGTTAATAAATATTCTGCTATCGAATTACAATTAAAAACATGAAAGTTCAATAACTATTGAAGTGATTTACTTTTCACCTGCCATCACCGTTAAAACTTCAACTGGCCAGATACTTGGTGTGAAACACGTCGTAGATACGCGTCCACCGAGAATTCATCTTCATCTCATTCTCAGTCTTAAAAAGCTGCAAGTGCGTCTTAACTTTTTGTGACCTGGTAAACCTTTTCACTGTTTCTGGTTTACAAAATAAAACAAAACATAACGACAACATAATTTTATACAACCAACTACTCGGTTTTCATTAATTTTTTCCTCTGAAACAAGCGCGCTCGTAGAGACGGCTGTGTTGATATGATATATATCACGTTAGAAACCTCAACAAAAATTAAACTGAACATCAAACAACTGAAAACAGATGAAAGAAGATGATAATAGGAAAGTTGAATATGAGAACATGAACATGCTGAAGAAGATAATTGACATCCAAGCGAATGGTGGCTTCGTTGACAACCACAACAAATATTGCTTCAAGAAATCGTAAGTGATGCTACTGTTACTACTACTGTTGCTGCTACCATTACTACTACTATGTTTTTTACTACTAAAATAAATTTTATCAAATTAATTGCAATGAAAAAATACTGATATAAAATATTGTTTAAACAAAACGCTAGAAGATGAGAAGTTGAATATGACGTAATTGATAAAATTTAATAAACAGGCGGACGATGTCTGAAGAAATGTCGGCGATGATGAGGCGAGACCAGCTGATTCTGCAGAGGATGGTCAACCAGACACCTCACTACCTCTTCCAATGCAACACTCCATCACCGGAGAACCTTCTAACGTTAAAAACCAGACGGCCCTTCCAATCGTGGACAATGTTAAAATAAGAAGAAATTGTTTTGTGATGCAAAACATCACCAACGAGCCTTGCTTACCGTTTATAGTATTTTCTGAACATATGGTAAATATTAACATTATTTACAGCGTTAAATTAAAAGATCAGGCGAACATTAACAAGGCAGATTAAGTTGATTAGATCTAGATCTATCTGTATCGAAATAATTCTTTCGTTTTCAAGTAAAGTCGAGAAATGTGCAGAAGCTTTACATTTATATTATAATAAGGTTTCAAAAATTATTTCGATTTTTAATTAGACGAAAGTAAATATCTTAGTTTTCGTAGTTGTACGCAAGAATAATGAATAAATAATTATAATTAGCATAATTTCCTAATATTTTATTGTCCAATAAAAAACATTCACTGCATCACTTGCAAGCATCTAATTTAATTGTACATGTGGCGAGAATGTATAAAGGGTGAACAATGTATATACATTGCACATACATAACACACAGATTCATGTAAGAATCATAACGTACGTAGTTAATCAATATTTATTCGCTTATTAATAATTGATCGTCGGTATGATTGAGTTTTTAATTATGGACATATGAAGGAAAGCTTCATCATTTGGAGGGTACAACATGACGTCATGTCATACGTACGTTCCAATGCAGTAAAGTTCGTGACGTGTTAATGTAAATATAATATTTGATAAACAGAAAAGCCTAGTTGATATTTTTCAGATAAGCGCCATTAAATAAGGACGCAGTATATATATATATATATATATATATATATATATATATATATAACGTAAATGAAGATGAAACAAATATGAGAAAATAATTCATTTGAATATACGATATATATATACATATATATATATTTGGAAACAAAAAAATACATCGTAATGTACATAATTTTGGTATAACAAATTATCTTTTTTCCTCATCCCTTCTTTTATTCAACCTTTTTCTCTCTGTTCCTCTTTCAAAGAAAAATAAGTATTAAACATAAAATAATCTATATCATAATTTTAAAACCAAAAAATTAACATTATAAGTATAAACAATTTGAAGCACACACATACACGCGCACACACAGACAGAAGCACACACATACAGACACACACACACGAATCATGACATGAAAAGCTACAAATATGTCCTCACTAACACCCACAATTAAAAAAAATCAGAGAAGTATATAGACAGATAAACCCTATTCACACAAAAACACGGACACACACACACACCCATATACATATAAATATACATACACACATACAGACAGGCGCACATGAACACGCATCGACAGAAGCACAGAGAAATACAGGACTGAGCACGACTACAACGTTAAACATTCATTGTCCTGAGTTGGTAGTGTTCTTTGTTTGTTTAGTTTTTAAAAAAAGTTCTACCCAACTACCTCATCTGCATGTGTTTTAGTAGATTCCTTGTCAGAGTAACAAACCGAAACCTGTGGTAAAACAGGAAAACTTACGGAGGGAAGTGTGTAAGGAAAAGAAATCATATATTAAAATTATAAGAAAAGTTTGAAGGACTTGATTCTTTCCTTTAAATCAACCATGATAAAAATAACTTAAAGCATAAATATGTACACCAGGAGAAAATTTCATATCAGCGAAATGCGCATCACGAAAATGAACTGAACAAGTCAACAAGCTATAAACATGCTCCACAATTAATCTATCAAACTACTAACCGACTTATCATGTCAAAAACTCAAATTTCGTATTAATAAATTAATATTATTAAATATTCAAAAATGTTAAGCTCCATTTAGCGAGTATCATTAACTCTTTCGATTCTACAGTAAGAAGTTTTTATTCAACAAAAACATTCGCAAATTCATTCAAAAAGGAATTTTAATCATAATTTTTTCAAATTTATAGACAAAGATAAACATTAAAATATGTGTCTCACGTTAAACCAATTTAAATATAAAGTACAAAAACAGCACAGCAACTTATATCATTTATTAAAATAAATAAATATATTTGAGATGGCGTTAATATTATGTTTCAATTATATCATTATAGGTATAAGCACGCACCGACAATATATATAACTATTTCATGTAAACAAGAGATGATGATAGTTTACATAAATGAGAATGAAGGCATCAGAAACAATATATATAATAATAATAACAATAACCAATCACATCACAATTGATAACTTTGTGCACTCTAGTGCACAAACTATTATACTACTGCTGCTTGTACATTTGGACATCATCTTCTGGAATTTCATCAGTTGAAACTAATCTATCGACCAATTCCTCCATCCACTGATCCATCCATTGGTACATCAATTCTTCATCAGCTGAGCTGGTACCTTCAGGATTTTTCTCGCTACCAACAGCAAATAATTGATGATGAATATCTACCTTCATGTCAAAATAAACTGTACAATAACAAACAATGTTAAAAGGTTGTTGTTAAAATGTACAATAATTAACCAAATTATTTTTTAATATGTAACAGTTAAGAACAAGAAAGAAATGTCAACATACTGAAATACATAAGAGAAATTTTGAAACCAGGAAGCTAAATGTACAGGGCAAATAATAAAATATAATAAAATGGCATATAGAGCTTGAGTAATAGTAAGAATAATAATACAACATTGAATAAATTTCAATTATTTGACAGTTGGTGAAAAACAAAAAAAATAATAATTACAACAACATACAAACAAACAATGGTAACAACTAGAGATATGAAAACGACTGCAGCAACAGCAAACAACCACCGCAATCATAGCGACGCCAACCACAACAGTAGCAGCAATCATTCGTGATGGTTGAAATGATTGTGGCGAACATGGTGATTGTTGACAATGGCCGAGGAGGAAGAGGATGATGATGAGGCACCAGTTGGTGAGATATTGCGGCTGTGATGGTGATAAGGATGATGGTGGTGGTGATTGTTGGCAGCTGCATGATGCTTGGGCGGAGATGAAGACATGGAGACCAGACAGCCATTAATTTTTTGAGATATATTGTTGCAGATGTTGTTGCCGAGGTTGTTGCAAACGTTGTTACTCAGACTGTTGCAGATGTTGTTGCTACTACTATTGTGGTTGGCAATGTTATTAACTCGACTGCTGCTGTTGATGTTGCAATTGCTATTACCTGAATTAGTCGCAGCAGCACTGTGTCTATTGGCACTTGCCATATAGTCCGCATAGGAGACGGTGATCTTCTCGCTCTGGTATCTCATCAGCTTCAAAGACTGTCTCATCTCCATTGTCACTAACCCTCTGTAGCCTGCCTTTTTCAACAGGGAGTCGATCGTCTGCGTGTGGTCCCATCCTGAATTTTTCGATAAAAATTATTTGGTTTAATTATTAAAGTTTTATTTAATGTCCTATTTTTATTTTTTGGATGATTCATCAGAGAAATTGTTTTTCATGCAATAAGTCAAACAAATTGCAATCTGTTTTCAATGTTATACTTTCAATGAAACAGACAATATTTAGATCAGTTGGGATTTATCTGCATTATAGAGAGATTAAGCAAGAAGAGCACTCTTAACAATTATAAAAAATGAGAGAATATAGATGCAATACAAACCTTGTTCCTGAGCAACTTCAGGCAGGTATGTGGCATTCCTCTTGTGACCACGTTCATTGTAGAACTCAATTCTCACTCCATGCTTCCCTATCTGTGTAACATTTCAATAATTAACCAAATTATTTTTTCATGGTAAATGAGTAATGCAAATTATAAATCTTGATTTGATATGTCATTAGAATAGATTCAAAACTTATGTGAAAAAAATAAGTAAGAAAAGTAGAACTCAATTCTCACTCCATGCTTCCCTATCTGTGTAACAGTTCAATAATTAACCAAATTATTTTTTCATGGTAAATGAGTAATGCAAATTATAAATCTTGATTTGATGTGTCATTAGAATAGATTCAAAACTTATGTGAAAAAAATAAGTAAGAAAAGTAGCAAACCTGCCAATCCAAATAATCTTTGCCTTCCTCAAACTTTGTGAGCAGCGACACTGAACAATGCAACCTATAAAACTCTGCCTTCGTTACTGGACTGAATCGACTGTCTTTAGTGGCACTATATTTTATAGTGAAATATACAGTTGATTATTTTATAATAAAACTAAATTAAATAACCCATTAGAATGTAATGTTTGCAGATAAAATTATTATATATTGTGAAGAAACATACCTTGTGATTGCATATTCATGTAGGCCATCATGCAAATTGACAGGAGAGAACGTTCCAATGCACCCCCGCAGGTGCTTGTCCCTGCCTATCGACCATGTTACGAACAAAGGACTAAAAAAATAAAATTAACATAAATTATTAATTTACTAAAGTAAATATTAAATTCTAAGTTATGATACACTATCTGTGAAATAAAAATCATAAAAATTAAAAAATATATAAAAATACTGATCAGTCTACTAACTAAGCTTCATTGGTGAATGTGGGTTTGGCAGGCTCACAATTGTTAAGATGGCAGTACAGAGAATCAAAGCAGTAGTAGCACATCTCCGGTTTAATCACCGAGTGATGCAAAACGGAATTCGAACTGCCGGACGATGAAGACGACGAACTGGCTCTGATCGGGGCATTCTTTTGACCTTTTTTCGACGACATCCCGAACCCAATCATTAATCAGAGGGAAACAACAAAAGCAAAAAAATATTTTCGAGACAAGACACGGGACTCTGCTGAGATGTTTAGTGTGGCCTGATGTTGTGGCCACGGAATTTAATTTTTTCGTATCAACAGCAACACATCTTCCAATATATATACTATTCTGTTGGCGACAAACAAACCCTGAACGGTGGTAATTTCATTAAACTAAATGCCGTTTAAACAGTGAAGAGGAAACAAAGATTACAAATAGCAAAGAGTGCAAATTCTAATAAATGCAAAGAACAAATACTGCCCTCGTAAATACATTAAGGCATATTTATAGAGAGAATATATTATATATATGCATTTTAATGAATTTAAATGATCGTAAATACATTTAGATGAATTTACAATCGGGTAAATATTTCCAAATGAGACACAAAAAGTACGGTCGTAAAATTACATTATTCGATGTTTTTACAATCTCTTCCTAGTTAGACAGAGAACGTGAATATTCGATGGTTTACAACCCATTAATAAAATTACAAAGTGCAAAAAATCGATCGAATGTGAATGCTTGTTCTATAGCCATTGATCTGCTCCCAAAGTCATTAATATAATTTGTTAATTTACTTGATTTAAGTTACATTCTCTTCACTTGTTATTTTTTGAAAAACCAAACTCATTATCATTAATTAATTAATCTATTTATTTGTTTTTTTTAAATCATTATTTAAATTTACCATGCTTATCTTACTCCATTATTTATTTTATTTTTTCATTTTATATCATCGTCTTGCATGTTGTAACAGTTTCTGCGTCTGTCAGATATGATTCTTCAAAGAATAAAAAAAGAAGGTTCAACATGCAAGACACAAATACAAAAATAATAGTATTAAAATAAGAAACATAAAGAAAAATATACCATGCAAAGTATGGAAAATGCACTCCTATAATGAAGATATGCGCCGACAACTTCAAATCAGCATATTTGATCAAAACACCAAGCTTGAATGAATATTTCCTAAGCTGCAAAGTTACTGTATTAAAATGAAAATATTAAAAAATTGTATCCCGAACAAACTGTCAGCTTACCAGTCTTTTGAATTTTAATACAAAAAGCAAAAGCAATTGAAGGGAGTAAGTGATTATAAAACAATGAAAATTACCCTACCTTAAAAAAAAATCTTGAAAAATAATTCTGCCTTGTTAAAAAGACGCAATTCCTACAGAGCAAACACATTGGTCCATTATTTATAGAAACAATATATATTAATAATTATTAATTTTAAAATTGTAACGAATTATAATAAAAATACATTTGAGCCAATACAAAAAAAGTTCGTTTATAAATTGTGTCTCAAGGTCGAAATGATGACATATTTAAAAACTAGCTACAATGTTACAAAAAAAGTATAAGTGAAAGAGGCATAACATTGATCACATCGGTTGAATTAAAGTGCGTAAGATGTCAAAAATCTAAATTTCACAAAGGCACGTGGGAGATGAGAAAAAAAGAAGCTATCACCATGGCTTGGTATTTTGAAAGCGATCAAATCTGTAACAATTATCTTCCGAACCGATGCCAAACAACAAGCGGAAATCCTGCAACGTCAGATTAATGGCAGATGATCCGGATCTGAGTGGCAAGCAATTGTATCAAGTGATGCTTAAACTGATCATGCAATTTTTAGATTGAAACATAGAGATAACTATAATGCGGTCGTCGTATATTTTTTCACAACTTTGAATAAAATGGAATCATATTTTTGTAACTAACCCTGAGAGTATATCTTTGGAGAGCATCAGCTTTTTATTTTGCAGCTGAACTATCTTATCCTCTATCGTGTCCTTGCAAACAAATCTGTTTTTAATGTGCAAAGGTTTAAATGTATCGTCTATCTATGCAATGAAATTAATAAGTCCACCCAAAAAAATTAGCTAAGATAAAAAGTAAAAGTGTTGTATTAGTTAAAAAAAATTGACAGCCTGACGACTAACCTATGAATGAAGACATTCTTTGTTTGTCCGACCCGGTAGATTCTGTCGCAGGCTTGCTGCTCAAGTGCCGGATTCCTTCGATAAACATTTTTTGAAATAAACGGACCGTCGATGGAAAAATAAAACAAAGTGTAACTACATATTCGTAGAAGGTTGAAAACAATTACGATAAAAATATTCATCTAAAGACCCACGATCTCAACCCAAGTTTAGCGGATGTAGGTCAAATGACGCATAAAATCTCCAACTAGTCTTCCATCTGCATCAAAAACTTACAACATCAACTATTAAGCGTGCCAACAATCAAACAATATGATCTTGCAGTCAGACTTATATAAGCCATCATTGCGTCAATTTGTTTATCCAAGCTATCCTTACCTTTGAACTAAGCCTACCCCAGTTTAATCACTATTTTGAGATGCATGAGAGTGAATAAAAAAATCATATATTAAAGGTTCGTTTTCTAACCTTATTCTGAATTTGTTAAATGATAACAGTCGATAAAATTAGAAAGCATTTTAAACAAATGGAAAAATAAACAAATGAACAAAGTGAAAGTAGTTAACCAGTGCATATCGATAATGAAGAGATGGTTTCCTCCAATGAGATTCAGACCAACGCCACCAGCTCGTAGCGAAAGCAACATAACCTTCAAGTACACAATATCAGAATATTAGCCGAACGCAAAAATGAATTTGTTCAAACGAAACAAAATACAGTTGAAAATAGAACGATTGCTGCGGTTTCTATCGTATGAATTAATAATATATCACCAAAAGCATCTTCTTGACTATCCTAATCGCCATCATCCTCATAATCATCAATCGGCATTATCATTGCACCAGAAACCTCAGGTCCTTTAGGATCGTTATTGAATGTTTCGACCATGCCGGACCTCTTTCTGGGCGAGACATCCCCACGAATGGTGCAACATCTGATCTTCTTCTTATTCAGGTGGTGTTCCACCACCTCCAACATCAGCGTCCACTGAGAAACAATCACGCTGTCGTGCAGGTAGAAATTTGAAAAAATAATCCACCCATCAACGATCCAAACTCGAAACAGTAGACTAACAAATTAATGACAGATTTGTCACTGGCATGTTAGCTTAGGTACTAAAAGAGTTATGATTCTGTAAAAGTTCACAATTATATAGTGATGTGCATGTGCATCATTAAAAAACCTTTTCGCTGGCTGGTTGGTCTCTTTCGAAGAGTTTTTGATGTCAACAAGCATTGTTAACAATTTGTTCATCTAGATGTGTTGTGTGTTTTTTTTTATTAACATAATTAGGCGAGTTATCATACTTCAATTTCTACAAAAGTGCAAGGCTTAATACGATGAGCGTAAGCAAAATGAAACCAACGATTCAAAAATTTTAAATGAAATTGCTTATTAAATTTTATCATGATACAAATTTCCCAACCTTCGTGCTGATGTAGTCAATTTCAAAAACATCCTTCAGTGGAATAGTTGAGGACGCCGATGAAGAAGCTGGATGAGATGCATGACTGGACAGCAGGTTTTCAACGCTGAGCATGCTCATCTGGTTCTCCAGGTCAACAAAAACCCCTTCACATTTCAAGTCATCAACATTTGGAGCCTGACAAATTTTTCCTTGCTATGATTTCCAGCGCTAATAGAGAAAGAGCAGAACTAACAGAAGTGCAAAAGTTGGTTGAAGTTATTACAATAAATAGCACAAATTTAATAAATCAGATAGACGTCTTATTACATATGATGAACAAATACAACAATGAACTAAAATTATTCCAACAAGCAACAGTTTAAAACGGTCAGTTCACTGCCAGAGAACCAACCTGCTTCATGAGGTAGAGGTGACAGCACGCCTGTCTCAGCCTCAAGATCATCGACAAAATATGCATCATGCGTTTTGGTTTTAAATTGCTTCTGTTGAGGTCCTTAGCAGCAGCAGCAGGCGAGCGGCTTGCAATTGCAGAATCATCAAGACTGACGGCGTTCTGTTTGAATGTTTTCCCAGTAGCACTAAGGTCTTCATTGGAATGTCCCAACGACTTTAGTCGTTGGGCCTCCATGTATTTCAGCATCTCGACTCTGTAATGCATTTACAAATATAAATACGATGCATTAACTATATATCAAGTTAAGATCGCCGAGGAATATTTGAACAAAAACAACAAATAAACACAAGAATAATTTATGTAACAAAAAAAGTTAAATAAAAATAAACAGAGCATACACATCAATCTAATGAAATATGAGTAAATAATTCAGTGCAAACTTAAAATTTTGAAATAACCAAATGCAATTTAAGCCGAAAGAAATAAACTGACTTGGAAATATTGAAGATGCGGTCGTAAATCAATTTTTCACCTTTGGAGAGTTCCAAAACGTGGGACTCTACTTTTTTTGGAGGGAGATTGACCTTTTGAGTTGAATTATTTGCTAATGCATTCATCTATTGTTTTGTTTGTGTGGCGCCACGTCCTTTACTCGGCAATTTGAAATAAATAACAGAAAATTAAACAACTCAAGAGAAGCGGTAAAAACCGCAACCACAAAAAATTAAACGATCATGTCATCGAACGTACGATCGGCTTTCCAGTTTCTATAGAGATGTCCTCCTTTGTTCTTCTTAACATCAACGCTTTGATCAACGTGTTTAATCTCTGAGTACCTAGTTCTATCATTTTGAAACAGTTTTTTTTATGAAGTTTTGGACAGCATACAACATAGCAAAACCAATAAAAAACTATTAAACCAATAAACAAAGCAGTTTGGTTTTTCTTCTTCAATTTTTTAGAGAATTGCTTAAAGAATTGATAAAAAAATTGCTTGAAAGATGAACTTGAGAGTTCTCACCTGATTTATTGTCCACTTGGTTCTTCCAAAATCTAAACTCATCAAAAGGTGAACATCTAAGAAACCTGCAGAAAATAAACGTTAACCCCTTACAACTGTCCATTAGCACTTTACATTATGATCTGTGGCGTTAAGAAAAGAATCCAAATGAACCTCAGCAACGAGTACATGTCAAGTAGGTTGTTGTGGATGGGCGTGCCAGTCATGACCCATCTTATCCTCGATCTCAACCTAGCCACGCGATAATGTATAGAATATTTATATATACATATATATATATATATATATAAATAAATATATATATATATATTCGATTATAATGGTTTGATACAGGGTGTTATATAAATATTTAAATAATAATCAGAAAATTTTTAGACAAATCTTCAAATTAAACAATGCTAACTTGACATTCTACTGGCAAATTGAAATATAAAAAAATTTATAGAAAAAATTAAATTATGAAAAAATTATATTGATAACAAATTATATCGAAACCAACCGACAAATACTCAGTGCAGTGAGACTTTTGGGGTTCTTAATGTTGTGTCCTTCATCTAGAATGATTCTTTCCCATGTTATAGCAAGCAGAACTGTGGACCAGTCTGTTGTTTCAGTCTGGTTGAGTAAAAGTATCATTTAACAGTATTATTTTAACAGTATTATTTAATGTTATTATTTTTACCGGGTTATGAAATTATAAATTTAGAAAAAACTTACAATTAGTATTCTATAAAAAAATAAAGAATTTGAAAAGGTTATATATATTTTTCGTGGGTTAATTAATTAAAGTTCAATCCTCATCTAATATTATTAATATGTAAACATCATAGCGAAACTTTTCAAACAATTTTATCAGAAATGGAAATGATGTTCACCAACACAGCACTTTTATAGTTTAATACAATCCTGATGTATAACTACACACCACACACACACAAATACACAGAGAGTCACGTACACACACACACACACAAACACAGAAGCAAAAACACAGACACAACCTCGTCAACGGCTGGCAAATCATGCGTATGTTTTTCATCCTTCATGGCTGCAGAAATTCCTACCTCTGACTGTATGATGTTGTATGTCGTCAAGATCACGTCAAACTGGCATAATCTGTAATGGTCGTTAACATTTTTGATTGCAACTGCTGCTGCTGCTTAGTTCATTAACATTTTCACTGTAATTTTTACCGTTGCTGCTTAGTTCTACATAGTAAAGTAATACGCCATAGTGTACTGTAGACATTTATAGAACTAATTTCAACAATGAAAGATAAAAAAAACCAATGACTTATTTGAAAACGTTTATTTTAAAGTTTATAAATCTAAATTAAAAGCATTCCTGGAACGTTATCTAGTTATAGAAATAAAAACAATCACCAACACTAACTAAAATTTGTGAGTTGAAAAATAATATCCTTTGATATATATAAATATATATACAATATATATATAACAACAAAACGCACCACAGATGTTCAAAGAAAGAATAAACACTAACGACTCTACAGAGCACCTTCTGGACGGTCCGTGGTACACCAGGACATCCAGTAATCCAGGCATCAACCTCTTCTCAATCTCAATCCTCCATTGGTGGAGCAGTGACGCTGGACATATAATTAAAGTACCTCCGCTCTCTACTTCTTTTGTTTTCGTGAACATTATTAGTTAATTAATTAATTAACTAATTAATTATAAACTAATTAGAAATAAACGACTTAATTAGAAGTAAATATTGCAAATAGAAAATCATACTTCGATTAGATTTACCAATCCAACTTGTCTTCGATGTCGACTGCATCTCTGATTTTTCTTGTTTTTGTTTCAGAACTAGTGAGATCATGGTGAGCGTCTTGCCGAGGCCCATGTCATCGGCTGGAGTAATGATATTACGATAATTAATACAAATACATGATAGCAATCACACGGAATAAGATATAGATAGCAATATAGAATTACTGCTGTAAACGCTTCTAAGAAATTTTTAACGGCTCTAATGTTACAACTTCAGTGAAGTGAAAAAACTTCAGGAAAAGTTTTCATCAATGACGCTAGTGGAAAATAAATCTGTCAGTGTTTGCAAGAAAATTTCATAATAAAACAATGCGAGTGTATTTAAAGACCTGCCAGCAACTGAATAAGGAACACGTCAACCTACCTAAAATTCCTCCTCTTGGGAGTTGCAGCTCCCTCCATGTCAACCACGCGAGGGCCTGCCTCTGATGTGTCATCAAACTAATTCTCAACCCTTTCGGATCGCTACATTGAGATGTCGGAGGAGGACAGGACTCAAGTTGGCTGTGTGTGTTTGAGTGTGTGTGTGTGTCTGGGTAAGTGTGTGCGTCTTTGAATGTGTGTGTGTCAGTATGTCTGTCTGTGTGTTTTGTGTGTCTGTGTGTTTGAGTATGTGTATCTGTGCATGCCTGTGTGTATGTTATCATCCATCCATTTAAAGTAAGTCTTCATCAGGAAAGTTACACAACGTTTGGGAATAAATTCCAAGAAAATCTCCAATTATTTCAACAATCAGCACAGGTTTATTCGAAAAAGTAGTAAAATTAACATTATATGAACATGCAAGACAAATAATTTTATAAATCACATGACGTCAAGAATGAAAACCATGGCCTAAAAATGAGAAATTTTATAAAACGAAAAAAACAGAGACATAAAAAATCAAATGAAAAAAGATAAGGCATCAGGTGAACTGCTGAGAACCACCTATGCAAGCGGTCAATGGCTTCAGTGGTTGCGACAGATACTTGCTTCAATCTGCTAGTAGTCATTCTTCCTCCATAAAAATGTCCATTACCTTCAAATATCAATGCAAATGTCAGTTTGTTCTATACAGCTGATGAATTTTATTCAACACAAGACTAGTAAATACGTGGAAATGAAGTTGTGGTTGTAACTTTTTCAATCGATCTTTAAAGTATTTTTCGATATTTTGCTGAAAAACTTTTTTTAATCAATTTTTAAAGTATTTTTCTATATTTTGTTAAAAAACAATCACGTAACTTACCATGCAGGTCATTATTATCTTTGCTATCTTTGCTAATCAAACAATTTGAGACTGCATAGTTCAAGATGGTGCTCTGTTTCAAAGCTGAAGTCGTAGATGATGAAGCTGTGAAAAAATCCTCTGTACAATTAAAAATAGTCCAGGAAAAATAAAACACTAGGGATAGCATATGAATGAGTGCCTCTAAGTGCCATGAAATAAGTTACAGAATAGTTTATAGAAAGTGCACTGACAAAGTGTTTGAAGAAACTCACAACAGGCAAAAACCTGATTGTTTGAATTTATTGAACAGCACATTCTCTTGATGGTCTTCTTTTTCGACTTCAATGATTGATTCTTTCTTTCTTATCTTCAGTTCCTCCAACTGTTCTGTCAGTACCTCAACTTGCTTCTTCAGCCTGTCACCTCCATCCGGCAGTCTAGAAAGATCTATGCCGGCTATTACGTTCTGCCATGAAATTGAATAATTCTTCAAACAAATTACAAATAAAATTAATGTGATGCGTACAACTTACAACTCAGTCATCAAAAGTGAAGAAATATGTGTATCACAGAGGATGGAGACCAAACTATAAAAAATCATTCATAACTTGTTTGAAAACTGAGTGAGTTTTAAAGAACTAACCAAATTTCTTTTTAAATCAACTTTAACTTCATTAAGCAGCAACTCATGATCTCTGGTCCACTTCTTCACAGGATTTTGATCAAGTGCTGTTGTGGCGGATAGATGAGATGCTCTAGAATCTTCCTTCATTTGCAATGTTTGTCTCACCACTAGAGTCGCCCCATGTGATGTCTTTGGAGCAATAATTGATGATGACGTTGATGACGCTGAAAATGCATTAGCGCTATCGTTATTATTATTTTGATTGGCCTTCTTGCCTTCCATACTATTGTCAACATCGACAATATTCTTGTCTTCATATGTTTCACCATTACCATCATCCTCACTGCTATCATCAATGATTTCTAAGGAGACGTCCCTATAACGGTTGGGAGACTTTGTAAACGAATATTTATCTTTGGAATCTGCAAGTGAAGACGACTTTTTGCTGTTTAAATTTTTAAAATTCAAATCTGTCATTTTCAATTTATTAACATTCATCTCTGGTTCTTTCACTTCTGTTCCTCTGTCAGGTGCACGCTGTTTAGTTACTTTGCTTTGTGGCTTCAACTGAATGGTCTGGTTTTTTAAAAAAATTAAAACATTAAAATATTTGAAGGAGTTGAATGAAACAAACAAAAATTTTGTGGATAATTATCATTTATGTCCAAGAAGTAACTCAGTTTTGTTCAAAATAACTTATTATTCCATCTCAAATGAACAATTTGTAATTTTTAAAATTCAAGTTGGCACTTTTTAGTGAAGATACAAAGTGTTTAATATAGAGATCGACCGAAACTGCTTTTTCTGTTTCGACCCAAACCGAAATTGTCATTTCAGATGTTTATACACACTTATATATACTAGTGTAAAAAAGTAAAAATATTTTACAACAACCACAAATATAAAAAAACAAGTTTGGCTTTTCACTGCATAGGAGGCAAACCTTAGAAATTCTACCACACCATGGTTTGTTTAATTGCTTGTGTGACGTGCATCTGTAGTACATCCTTTAACATGTAATAAAGAAGTTGAAACAATTATTCAAAATATTTAAAGAGTAAAATAAGAAAATTTCTAAAAAATTTGAAGAATCAATGTACTTCATTTCTTCAGCTTCCTGTCTATAAGCTCTCAATTCCAAATAGTTATTTTGGTGCACTGAACATCTTTCAGGTTTTATATGGCTGGGTAAATCATTTCACGGTTTTCAAGACATTTAAAAATAATTATACATTTGAAACATTAGAGTTCAAAGTAACAAAATAATTTTAATAATCAAATAAACATTTTTATGAAACTTTTCAAACTGAAACCATGAAGAATTACTAAATCAAAGTCTGTTCATATTATAAATAAATTATTAATTAATTTAATGTAAAGTGTAAGAAGGCAAATTTAAAAACATATATCCAGCTATTGGCGGCTATGCTAAGCACAACAACTTTTAATATTTTTGAAAAAGTTAATGCAGACTGCTGAGTTATTTAGGTTAAAAAGTTAAAAAACTAACTTAGCTTCTTGCACAAAATCACATTGATTTTTATTGGAGCAAATGAAGTAACTTTTTAAATAACTTGATGAATTTGGATTTGACACACCAGTTTTTAAATAACATGTCTCTCCTGTATTTAAATTTTTACAAAATTTTGAAAAAGTTAAAATTAAACTATTAAAAAATTAAAATTTAAGTTTATTAAATAAAAATAAACTAAATTAAAAATAATTAAATTAATTATTAAAAAAGTAAATTAGTAAAGTAAAAAAATAAGTAATTTGGGTCGTTTAAATAAATGAGTCAGTACGAAAATTACTGTGTTTGGCACAATTTGGAAAAGAGTCAATAAAATCTAAATCCATTCCAATTTGAAAATAATTGCATAAATCTATTTTTTACCAAATTAAGACTTAATTTTTAAATAAAGGCATTTAAAAAAAGTTAATCTAGCGCCACTGGCTAGTCTAATAGGCCAACTTGCCGACAGGCTGAATAAAACATGAAATTGAAATATCCTACAATCGGACATCATTTAACTGTAAAAATGCTATTAAACTCTACAGACTTTTTTTTATTGTTATACACTATTTATTATTATTATCATTATCATTGCTAGTAGTTAAAGTAGTATTGTAGTATTTGGTGAATTTGCGGGATAAGAAAGACACGAAGTTTCCTTTAAATTCATTCTCACTTTTAGCATTCATATATCTCCCCGTTCAAGCCATTCCAAATTGTCGCAATTCTGTTTGTAAAATAATTCTTTCTCAGATTAGATTTGAACAAATCCCTATTCAGCTTCAAACTTTGATCACGCGTTCTGTCACCGTCACGTAGCTTTAATTTCGGAAAACTGCTCTTATCATCCATCACTTTTCATTCTTTTGTACATGACTATGAGGTCACCCATTATTCCCCTAAAATTAAGCATAGGTAGATTCAAATATATCAGATGGTCTTTATATTTTAAAGACTTACTTTACATGCATTGATCATTTGTGTAGACTTTTTCTGTACCCGATCAAGTGTTTGAACTTTCCTTCTTGTCAATGGCATCCACGCAGATGCAGCGTACTCTAGTTTTTTTTTGTTTAAATGCTCTAATGATCTATCATGCATAATATAAATAAAAATTTTGGTTTGAACTCAAAAAACGCGACGAGCTACGATCTACCGTTAGAAAAACTAAACAGGAACTAACCCGGAACATGCTGCGGTTTTCATCAATAATTGTATTTCTGAGTCTTAATCCAATATAATGCATACGTACACATATATATATAATTTAATGAAAACAGAAAACCTTTTCGCACAACCTAAGACGATCTGGATGCAAACACAAGTTAAGCGCATCCTAAATCAAAGTGCTCAGATTAACTAAAGTACAGGTATCTGCAGGCAGCATACAATCCCTGTTTATTTAATGTACAACTGACACTTTTAAACGATACAAGTGGCTGTTATATTTAACAAAACTGATCTAACACGATTGTGGGACATTAATAAACGAAAAATAGAACACCGAGAATCGCAGCTAAATATGTATTTGAGTAGGCTTTCGTTTTAACGCAAACGTAAAGTGTATTAGCACAAGTTCCTATGACTTACCTCAGTAACTCATGGGAAATAATACAAATCAAGCAAATAAAATTTGATAAAAAATTAAAAGATCGATAAAAAAATAAACTAAAAATAAAAAAACATAAATTAAGATAATTTATAAGATAGTGCTTTCAATCACGTGTTGTCATCTTGGTTTATGTTGATGACATCACTGAAAGGTCCGACACGACCATGCTTGTCAACACCTCTCAGCAGAAAGTACATCTGTCTGTTGACTTTTGATTTTTCAATGAGGCATGCCATTGGCAGTGGCATGGCTGAAATGGTTCCCACCTAGAAAGCAATCAATGTTGTATAAACTTCTGTGAGCATGCATAAATAACCAAAATTAACACAAGACTATCCTAAAACAAAACTGTCAATGAAATCCAGATGCTGCTAACAGTGCTTGCATGCAAGATATTAAAGTATGAGTATCTAAACCATTTTTTTAAATATCAAATCAATAATGATAAAAATAGAACATGAAATTAAAAAATCTCGTTACTTACCCTTTTCCATGGCAGTTTGTTATGACAGGAAAATAAATGATATGACACTGCCTCTTCATTCTGCTGGTTTGAGTCACACGTCCACTTCAATTCTATTTCTGATGTAAACAAGAATTATTTAAAAATTATTTTATAAATTTTGTATCGTATTAAAACTTTTAGTATGTAACTCATTTTTAGCAAAGAACAATAAACCAGATTTTGATCATTTGTTTGTCATAATTTTGTATTCAAACAGTGCTAACATTAAGCTTTAAAACCATGACATTAAATCAAATTCTTCTATAGGCAAGAACAATTTTGCAATATATTACAAAATCCGCCAGATGAAACAAGAACAGGAATATTCCAGCTTTGTTAATTTATTTGATGGGGTTTTTCAGTTTTAATAAATTATTAAAGAATGAAAAAAAACATTCAAGAGCACACACAAAAAACTAACCACTGGCTTTCATGTTGTACTCAAGAATTGGTCTTGAGGGTAAATTTTTGGCACCCGGAGGTGCAGGCTGATTTTTAGGCAGAGGGGGTGGCAAAGGCTCCTGCGTTCATACACAATGTGACAAACAAATACATATTAGAATAAAAAAGTAACAAGTTACAAGCAGAAAAAAGATGTAAAAAAAAAACGTTATATATGTTACAAATACAACACATGTAAAAAAAATGTAAAAAAACATGTGAGGCATGATACAAACATGATTTAAACAAGTGGTATGGAGAAGCCTTGTGAAAGAAATGAATGACATGTAATAAAAATCAGTCAAGAAAAATGATCTGCATACCACAAGTATTGAAGAAAGAGAACTATTGCTTGCTTTAGTGTTGAACATGTGATGTGGAGCTGCCTCAGTGATAAGATTGCCATTAACTTTACACAAATTATCAATTTTATTATGCTTATTGACAACAAGAATATTCATTGGTGTGACTCTGTCATCTATTTTATGCTTGTTAGTGATGTTAGTGCGATCACTTGTATCGTCAATATCATCAGTGAGATCTATAACTGCTGTATTGTCGTTAATAATGTTTGTGGGTGTCATTGTTTTACACTGGAAAACACTTTTTGCATTATCAGCATTGTTGTCGATTGCAGAAATTTTTGGAGAAGGTGCAGCAGACTTTTGAGATGTAGCATAATTCCCAGAGCAACTGCTTGTAACAACTGAACCATTTGCATTGTTACTAGACTTGTGAAGCTGCAAAATTTAATAAAGTTTAACTTATTGAACATTGGAAATATTAAAAACGTGAAATAAATAATATAATATCAACTGTATTTATTCAAATTTAATAGTAGAAAACTAGGAGAAATTAATTTATATCAAAAAATTATTGATAAAAAGTACATTTTTTAGATGTAAAGATAACACAGCATTAGCACTGGCAGGTGGAAGGAAGCAAGGCGATCGATTTTTCACACCAGTGCTATCATCCGCCTTTGTTGGTATCACATGCGCTGATGTTGCTGGAGATTTTGATAGTAATGAGGCACTTTCACAACCCTCAACTTTCTTTAAAGGTTAAAAAGGTTAAAAAAAGGTATGACAACTGTGTCTTTTCATTTTATATAGTAGTTTTAGACAATTTGGAAGGATTTGAGTGATTGGGAATTTAAGAGGCAGTAAATTTTAATTAACAAAATACCATTTCTTTGTGTAATGCAAATAGTTCTTGCTTTAATTCTTGGGATTTCCGTTTCCAAAAATTAACAGTCATTCTAAGATCTAAAATTTCCTTTGCATATTTGGCATTCAAGTTTTCTTGTAACCTTGCCAGCTCACTTTTCAATTCTTTTTGAATGATAGACTGTAATCTCTGTAATGATACAAAAAAATTAAATATATAATCATGTACTCATATATGAATGTGTTTACACCTTGTATATTCATCTGTTTTTTATGTTTGTGTGGTGCACAAAAGTTAAACACGTATATATATATATATATATATATAAAAGTTTTAATGTATGAACAAGCATTGCAATTCAACAAAATCGGAAGATATACATCTAAAAAGTTATACTGAAATGCAACTAATGTACATTCAAATGAAGAAAAAAGTGCATCTCAGAAAGTAACAAATTTTCAAATTCCCAATCATGATCAAAACTGGACATGCCAATAACTTGTAAATTGATAATAAATTAAAAAATCAACAAATCCGAAGTTTCTGCTCAGTAACAATGTTATTTTGATAAATACCCAAGTAAGAACAGATGGATAGCTTTACATTTCATATATGATTAAGTAAAATGATGAAATAGGTTTTAAAAATTTATTAACCTTTGTTCTATAAACTTGTAAATTTAAACTATTTTTCACTGGAAGCTCTTCTATGTGGTTTGCCTTTAATCGTTTTGCATTATTATTTGGACTTGACTCGATGGATCGTTTTGTTCCACCATTGACCCTTTCAGTACCATGATCGAGAGCAGATCCATTGCTTATCAACGGAGGTGGAGAATCACAAATTATCACATCCTCAAGTTCTTCAATTTTAAAATTACCATTAAAATGCAATAAAATAAAATATTAAAAAAGAATGTTCATGTTCTACACTGGTAAATAAAAAAAAACAAATTAAAAACCTTCAGTTGTAAGATCATTAATAATAGTTTCTAATCCATGTGTGCTTGTTATCATATTTCCATTAAATCTTTGTGATTTTGATGTTGATTTTTTAGCAACATTCATTCTGCAAAGATTATAATTTTAATTACAATTTATTAGATTTTACAGTTACAAACAATCGAATTGGCATCCCATAACAAAATAACATAAAAATGGATTTAATTTTTAAGTTTATAACTGATAAATAACCGTAACTTAAACATCTAAGCTCAAAAATACCAAATCAAGTAAATGGAACAAGTTTTTAAAATTTCATGAATATGATTCAATGATTTACAAACATTTTATAAAAAAAAAATTAATGAATCATTAATTAATCATTATGAGTTAAATTACCTCCACCAATCGAGAAGCAACAAATAATTGCAAATCGCCGCAAAAACGCAAACAATAGGAAATCAAGTTAACAAAAAAATTCTTTTTGCAAATCTTCAATGTTTTTAATTAATTTTATACATAAAATCAAATTTCCTCGATGATGTATTCTGACCTAAACAAACATGGCGCTGAAATAAATATTTACCGCACCAACCTTACGGGGCCTACTGTTGTACTGAGCATGCGCCGCGATCTATTTACATCTTGTTTTGGTTTTTATTCGATTCTCATTGGTTGAATTTCAAAGAGATTATGACGTCTACAAAATATAAATATTCCGTCATCTGTATAAATAATTCAACGGCAAGCGAAAGTATTCAAAAGACTATTTATTATACTAATTATTTAACAAAATACAACTAAAATGGTTTCAACAAAATTTTTTTTAAAAAATATTTCAATTAGTCTATTATAAAGACAAAAATGTGTTTATCAGACGTTGCAACTTTCGAAAGATTTTAAAAATCTTGAAAAGCTTCTCCTATTTTTTTCACCATTAAATAATTTATCAATTCTTCAATACTGATCTTGCTACCTGAAGACTTCTTTGACTAGATAAAATTAACAAAGAAAACGTAAAACTTTGAAAAACGACGAGACTATGTAAAATGTGTTAGTCAAAAAAAAAATAATCGCACTTTGTCAACAGCTTCTAAAAGATCGTTTAATTGCATGTCTGTGAATTTAGGAGTCAAAATGCTGATGGCGCTTTTTGTTTCATATCTGCTAATTGTTCCATCGCCATCTTCGTCAAACCTGCTAAACATTCTTCTGTAATACGCCGCTCTATTGAATATATATTTAGTTATTCTTTATTTCTAAAGTCATTTATTTCATGATTTGAAAGTCATCTCAGACGGTAGCTGGATCTAATCTCTCAATTAATCAAATTTATACAGCATAATTTCTAAAGATTCAACTGAGCTCAATCCAAAATACGCATGACAAACAATCATGAAGAATTAAAAAATAAAAATGAAATAATATAAAATAAATAAAAAAATACATAGAAATTCAATGGAAAGAATATTATATGTCCAAATCTCAAAACACTGTTATTTGCCGTGTTTGTGATGAGGTGATTGCATCGATATATTATACATATATCCATAGGTAATTGCTAAGTGCGTAAATACAAATGTGTTTGTAATGTAGTACATCTAACAAATGAAATTATGCTGTTGGCTTTGATTTTTTTAAAAAAGGCAAATAGCCATTTTAGCTTACCTACTTTGAAATTAAAATTAGCCTGAAGTAATTTACCCATTGTATACTTTGTTTTAATAGCAGCTATTAACATCATTTATTTTATTTACAGCGACCTCTTGACGAATATTGAAATTGAAATACTAAAGCTTATTAATTCCTATATACTTTTAAACTTCTAAACATCTGAAACACAATATTATGTAATATATATTAACCACTTGAAGCAAACTCTTGTGAGAGCGTTTAGATCCGAATAATTGACTAAAAATTAAAAAATTGAATAGAAAATTTAGACAATTATTTTGGCGAAAATTTAATTTTCAAAATCGTCGGCATTTTTTCGCTTATTTAAATTTTCGTTGAAACAAAATTTAAAAAATTAACATATAATTAACATATAATAATAGTTAAAAACCTATGCATTTCGGGAGGGCATATCCTAATTGCATTAACAAATTCTTCCTGAGTTAACTTTCCATCCCGTGACGTATCAGCTTGCTCAAAAATATCCTTTTTGTGGAATTATATATAAATTCTTTTTATAAAATAATTATATACGAATCAAAGATCTTCCCACTTTCATCACGGCATCACTTTCCCTGTACCCGAACCGCTTGATTTTTTCAATTAACTCCGGCAAAGTTATGTAGCCTTTGCTCGTTGAATCAAGTTCATCGAATATCGTTACAAAATCTTCGTAAATATGCTGCTCGGACACCATGATTATTTTTCCTTCAAACTTTCCACACGTAGCATTACGTCATGATTGTTTTTTTTTGGAAATCACTGCGTTTTATCAGGTTTAGCGCAAAACACAAAACCAAAATTAATTTGCGTACATATAAAACATATTAGAGAAAAATAAATTGACAGTCAGTCAGTCTGGACGAATTTAAGAGTCCTTATTGATTTCTCTGACAATGGTTACACGTATGAAGCCTCTGACTAGTGAATATTGTCAGAAACTTAAAATGATGAAGCCACTGAAAACTCATTAGATGAACATCCATTAAAGGGTTTGGCTCATGCGTTTATTCAGTCCGGATCGACAACGAAAACATTTTTTTGGGGTATCGGAAGTCATCTTTCAAATTTTCACCAATCCAGACCCAAACAGGAGTTTGAAATTCGACTATATAACACCAATTCTCCGTAATCTTCATACAAAAGAACTTTCGCAAAGTAGTTGTTTCAATGTTCTGAATCGACTGCTTTCCAAATAACTGATTAAGAGATTCTATAAAAGCTCGTGCCGTCCGGATTTGAGATAGAGATGTGGTGATGACGTGTACTCGCCTAATAATCCTCAGATCCGGCTGGCAACTGGAAATAACTTTTCTCGATTTCTTCTTTTTCCGATTCTATTGACATTTTTTTACGTTACTTGTCGAATCTTCCTTCAATAGTTTTACTAAATCCATTTAATGAAACAATGAGTCTGATCTTTAGCAAACATTTCATGAGTACTGCCAATAATTTATTCAAATAATTTACAATACGACGTTTATACCAAATTAAAACAACAAACACACTGCCACGAGGTCATATATCGTAGATAATAAACGAGTATAAGTATCATGAATGAGACGATAAAATAAGCGACAATTACTGAAAATGTTTATTTTTGTACAAGTGTTCCAATAAATACTTGTTACGCGTACGTGCCTCATGAAAATTTTTTCCGAGGCAAGCTACAAGGGCGTACAGTTGTGGTTAATTTAATATAGCATGCATGGAATAATATGTAGTGTCGATGAAAAAAAAAGTTTAAGTAGTTCTTATTAGGTAATAATAGATTTTACAACATTAAAATCAGATAATAAGCAATTGAACAAAAGTACGCACAGCAATGACGCGGAATTAATAGTACTAATCAGTAAATGTACTTTTTTTCATTACACAAATCTTCAGCTGTATCATGCCCACGTCACATGTTATTTTTGAATGAATCAATATAATTTGTATTAAGAAGCACAAAATTGAATGAAAATAAATGAACGTTTGAAGAATGGTAACCGTTTGAAAAAAAGCCATAATTAGAATTGACACCAGTGTAATTTCGGACAGTTTTTCATGTTATAAGCCATATAGCAAATCATGAAATTAAGAAGAAGTGATAGATATCTAATTAATTAATGTACACATAGTCTTTTAATTGTACTAGCATTATTACCAACAGTTAAACTAAACAAAGAAATTAGAAAAATAAAATCTGAATACTTTACGAGTACAAAGCAGGTTAAATAAAAATTTTTTCTAAACGATACAATTCATCAACACCATTATAATAATGTCACATCATAAATAGAACGTAATAACTAAACAGATAAATGATTTTTAAATCAATTATATTATTAGCTAGTGAACGGGCAGAATCATATATGTATATATATATATGTGTATATATATATATATATATATAATATATACACACATATATATGTATACATGGGCAAAATTATTTATGACATATGATTGACTACATCTTGGATTTAATCTGTCGGGGGCTGGTCGAAGTTCTCTGTTGAACGACTGCTCACAAACTGGTTCTGTGATAAAAATTAAAAGTTAATTAAAAATTAATTAATTGAACGTTAATTAATTTGAAATATCATAAGTAATTAGTCGATTTAGTTTTACTTTATGATGTTAATTAAAAAGATAAAACATTAAATTTATCATTAAATATCTATAAAAGAGTTTCTCAAATCTTATCTAATTAGTAATTACACACCGATATCATGAAACATTTTAACAAAACTGCTAATATTCATATAAAACCTGAAACTATTACAAACAAAATGGCAGAGAAAAGTCACCAAATAACTACGACACTGTAAACCAATTACTCAAGCTAACAAATTATAAACAATCAATTAAACCATACACAATCATCTGATCATTATATTGGAAGGAACATAAACCAGATGATGTGGGATGTTAAGATTACAAATATAGCATAATTTCCAAGATACCGCATGCTTAGTATCATCAATATTAACTTCCCTAGCTCCATCATAGTACTTCAATAATGATGTTTACCAGGTAATTTGTTATCGTTAGTCCTCGAGCAGTGTGATTAACTGATCAGCTTCTTATCAGCTCTAATCTTCATCATCATCTTCGTTTCTCAACCAATCATCGATTTATCATATGACCATAAATTGATGTAATCAAATTATTAGGTTGATTTCTTTGACATTTGTTATAGACTTTTGTCAATTTCCAACATGCAAACATAGCAATGAAATAAATATAAACAAACAAGCAAACAAATTAAAAAATACCGGACTGATGAACAACAAAAACAAAAGAGATCCCATAATCAACCAATAGTAAAAATTATTAAAATATAAAAACAAAATTTAAAAAAAAAACGACTGAACCTAAATAAAAACACTGCATAAACTAAACAACTAAAATATTTCAACTAAAATAAAATCACTAGGTAAAAATATAGATAATTGAAAACTCCTGTAAATAAGGCAGTATATTGTGAGTGTGTATGTATGTAGTTGCATATGCAACTGCGCTGTAATACCTGAACTGGTCTCAAGTTGTGCAACGATTTCGATTGCTTGCGAGTGAAAAATGTTTAAAAAATGTTATCACTTATTTTCCATTACTGACTTTATTACTACCCCAACCATAGTCAATAAATTTGATGAATAATAATCTATGACTATGGTAAAATGAAATAACACTACGTAACACCACCACATAATGACCAAACATACATCATCTCCTCAGTATTATGCAACCCCGCTTTCACTCTGTCCTTCTCCACCTGCTCTCTCCATGCCAATCGCGGACGACCCCTTCCTATCACTCCTTCAACCTCGAACTCCAACGCTCGCCTAATCCCGACTCTTTCATCCCTTCTCAACACAGTCCATACCATCGCAATCTCGATCTCCTTATCAATGTCACAATGTCTTCATTCAGTCCCATCATTGACATCAGTTCTGTACTACTCCTCCTATCCTTTACTTTAACCCCACACATCATCCTCACCATAGCTCTTTCAGCCCTCTGCAGTACACTTCCCTCCTCTCTCCTCAACACCCAAGTTTCACCACCATATACTATCGCTGCTCTCACACATGCTTTATATACCCTCCCTTTCATCTTCACTGACCATTTCTTTCCACCCAATACCCCACCCAGTTTCCTAAATTTCATCCATCCCACACAAACTCCAGCCGTAACAGCGCTCAAACGTCCTCCATCCGCGTTCAGCTTAACCCCTAAATAAACAAAGCTTTCCACTCTTTCAATACCACCACTCAACCCCGTCCTTGCGTCCGTCCTATTAATCACACCATGGACAACATTTTTTAAATTTGAACGTGCCTTCCACCTTTTTTAGTGCCCCCCTCACACCACTACATCTCTTATGCACCCATTCTGATATCCTATACACAATACCGAGTTAGCCTTCACTCTCCTGTCGCATACCACACAGGGGTCTATTTTACTTATCACTTGCTCCCCACTTTCCCCACTCACCATTACCTTCGTCTTACCAGTATTAACTTTTAACCCTTTCTTTTCTTTTAACTGAATATATGAATATTTATACAATATTTAGTAATTGTTAAATGGCAAGATGAAAATTAATCCAATTTAAATGGTATTCAACCACCTTGACCGAGGAATAGGCTCCGCCGACTTTATCTTCAACTGATTTGAATGCAGATGAGTTTCTGAATAAACATGGCAAAAAATATTCATCAATAATAATACTGAACAGATGCATAAACAAGAGATTAATATTCATAGCTAATTAATATAAAACATATGCAAAATCATAATGTTAATATTTATTAGAGAAATCATTTAACAGATATGTTGTTTGGACAATTAAATATGAGCAATGAAATTTTTAAGATAAAACAAAATAAACTAAATCAGACATGGAGGTTAATTAAAAAAAAGTATTAGCATCTGTAAAAAAAAGTATTGATTTCTGTAAATTGCTACTATCAAAAGTCCTTCTTTTTACCAATCAAAAAACCATTTTGAATTACCGAAAATCTCCCATTTTTCTTGAGGCAAAAGCTCCAAATGATCTGAAAGCAGCATTCGTCTTTTGATAACTGCAAGGTTAAGTGAATCAAATTAAAGTGATGAATGTCTTTTTAATCAACACAATATAATAAATTATGTTACATTATTATTAATAATATTAATTCTTTCTTAAATTTTTCTTAATGGTATCAGCACACAAACACACACACACACACACACACACTGTGCATGCTAGATATCAGTTTACAATCCAACTCAGTTGCGATAAGAATAGGACCAGGTGCCTTAACTACTCAACCAACTCACTGCATGCAGTTTCAGATGTTGCTTTATACATGATGTTTGATGACAGTTTATTATAAGTTTGTTTTGAATCACGAAATTAATTAAATTTTGGAGGCTCAAATATTTTTAAAATGTAGAAGTATTATAATGTAAGTTGAGATAATTAAATTACAAATTGAAAAAATAGAAGCTTAAAAACAAGAATTCAAAGTAACAAAATAATGACAAACAATGTGAGCTAGCATTTTACACAGTAATAACTAAAAATTAAAAAAACAAAAAAAGACTAACGCATCAGATGACGCTATTGTTTCACCAATTTGATGTAATTTTTCATTTGTTTTTTGAACACTTCAACATGAAATGAAATAAAAATTTGAACATAAAGAGGAAAAGAAAATAAAAAAAACCAAATTATTAAAAAAATTATCCATGAAAGTCTAAAAAGTAAATGATAAATAATATGAGTAAATAAACTAAAAAAACAAAACAACAAAATTAAAGCAAAATTTGAAATAGAAATGATTGAACATACGTATCAGATTCTTTGATAGCATTAATGCTGTGGGATAGATCTTGTTTAAATTCCATCATTGGAGTTATGCCCAAACGACGTTTCAACTCCCCGGCCTGTCTCTCTTTCGTTGACAGAACAGACTTCAAAGTCTTTATTTCATCTTCTAGCTGTTTAAATTTTCAACAAATTTATAACAAAAATTGACATTTTTTTCTCAAATTAATCATTAATTATTTATTCACTTACTCTTAGTAGATCAGATTTCCAGGCTTCCTCTTGTGAATCTTTCATCTGGCCATTATGCTCAGATGGTGAGAGCAGAGGATCATCATTGACAGAATCATAAAAAGTGTCATCTGAATTTTTTTTTCAATATTAGTTACAATTTGGTTTTCTAAAGTTTTTTAAGTTATTAGATTAGAGGATTTGGAGTCAACTAACTAAACTCAATCACCTATTATATTAACACAACATGGCATAGCAAAGTGAAACAACGAAGGAAAAGAAAAATACATAAAAATTTAGAACAAAAGGAAACAAATAATTTATTTGAAAAATAAAATAATTACTAAATTAGTTTTTTATTTTAATCAAAATTAATTTTAAAAATTAAAATATTAATAAATCAACATATTTTTAATTAAATTTTAATTAAATAAAATAAAAAGGTTTCTTGGTAATTTATAAATAAAACCAAATTAATTCATATTTCAACGATTTCTAGTTTAAAAAAGTAAAATTTAAAAAAGAATACAAAACAGAGAAAATGAATCAGGATTATCAAAGATAGCAGCCCTCCATTGTTTTGTTTGTGGAGTGTAGATGACTCCAGACTAACAACAAAAAATATTGACAGAAGAAAGGAATTATTAGGAAAAATAAAAAGTGAAACGTAAAAAAATAACCAGCGGCATGCAAACTTGGAGATTTATGAGTCGAGGAAGCCATCTTGAATTTTTTTACTAAATTTATTTTAAGTCTCGTCTAATGATAATAATGTGACAAATTTAATATTTACACATAAAAATACAAAAGAACTTAAATAAGTCTCTGCGATCAAAGAGCACTTATTTTTTAGCGCTAAGTTTTTTTTAAATTGCGATGCGATCATTTCCACATTATTGGTTTAATGAATCTCTATATTGTTGCGGATTCTTTAGAAAAATAGAGCTTACTTTTTTTAATTGCTTTTACACTATAAAGGTTTTAAATTTTTTGACGTCAGAGTTTTTCTTTCAAAACATACAATAACAAACAACCAAAGTTGTTGACAATTATAAATGAAAAACATGATTACAAAAAAATTGAAAAAGTAAAAAATGTCTCACTATCAAGAAGATTTTGCGGCTATATTTAAAATGGCGAACAAGAATGCTAATGGAACGTTGACTTTGGAAGAGCTATCCAGCCAAATGAGAGCTTTTGGTTATCGCAACATTGATAAGCCACTGGAGGTTGAGTATTACGCAGATCATTTTTATTATATGTGATAAATAAATAAATATATATGTAGTTTTAATACTAAATTAATATATCAAACTATTCTACAACGCGTAGCGTTGCATTAACCACCAACATATATACTGATTTGACATATATGACAACAATGTATGATATAAAAATAAAGGATTTGATAATCACATAATATCAATTATAAACCTACATTAAAAAATAAATGAACCCATTAACGATGTTACAAATTTGTATATTCAGATTTACTTTTCTAGACTTGGTGCTGACAGATATGGAATCAGTCTTGAACAGTTTTTGGGATCGATGGACTGTGCGCCACATCAACTGCACAGGTAGGTAGGTACCTGGGCACATCCATAATCATCATCATTTTTTTTTAAATACATCAACAAACATACAGGCATGGAAGTACACAACAAATGCAAGGTCCCACTCAAACATTTTCCATTCATGTGTACTTAAATACACACGTAAACACACACGCACATACACACACACACACGTAAATACATAAACGTAGGTCATAGATACATGTACTACACCACATATAAACACTCATGCATATGCGTAATCACGCATATGGTCACGTACACACACAACACAACTTTGGGCAAATAAATAACAATGGAACATTTATTACTTTTTATGATGCTATTTCATCTGACTGCAACTCAACCGACCGCACCTATCAGAGCGGCGTATTTGAGGCGAGTTTTCAGAGAGTACGACAAGGACGGCAATGGGAAGTTGGATAGGAGGGAGTTCCATGATATTTGCTCCAAGCTGGGAGAACGATTGACCAAAGAAGAAACTGAAGTTGTCATGATGGTCTTAGATAAGGTTTTTTCGTTTGTTTGTTTGTTTGTTAGTTCGTTCATTTACTTATTGTTAGTTCATTTTTTGTTGAAATTACATAAATTAATTTGTCAATGCAGGTTTTTTGGTTTATTTCTGTAGCAAGTATTAGCGAGAAATGACGTCACACATGCGTCATATAAGGTTTTTAATTAGCTTAACACAAGGTAATTCTTGAGACATTAAAGTGCTCGTTAAAATGATTGCAAATGCTTCCAGGTCAATGTTAAAGTTTAAGTGCGTTATTTTAATCCCATTGTTAAAAAGTCAAGGCTTATTTATTCATTCATACACTAAATAGCTGGCGTTCTCATCAAATTCCAATTTGTCATTACACAATATTTGATGTATTATGCCGCCTATAGTACTTAAAATATAAAGTTTTAACTATAATTGATTACAATTTTTATTAATAAGTCTAAAATTTGTTCTAAATAGAACCTGAATTCCTACATTGATTTGGAAGAATTCATCAGCGCTATCAACCACAAAGCTGTTAATTAGGAGTAGAAAATAATAACTGGATGAACAAACAAATAAACTGATGATTAGAAACATTATTATTTTATTTACCTAGATAGGGTTTTACCCGGGTGGTTTCATGTTTGAAAAGTGCACTTGTTATACATTTATCCGCAGAACCTTTCAAATAAATTTTTATTTTGTATGACAAAATAAACTATTTTATGTACACAATCAGCTTGCTAATTTTTTTCAAAGATAATAAATTCATAAGATATATATCTAATGACCAATACTAAGTCATACTAAATCTAATAGAAAAACTAAGTCAAACGGTTTTATTGACAAACAAGGTTTAAAATTGTAAATACATTCAAAAAAACTAGCAAAAAGGTTGTTTCTCGTATGAATTAAATAACTCCACTTGATTCTTTGGTAATCATTTGCGACAAACACCGACCTGCTTGCAAAGCATTCCGAACTTGGTCGTAATTTAAATTTTAAGACACTAAAACCCACATCACATGACGTAGGTAAGATAAAATGACGTACATGTCACATGACCACAGAACACTCATCTACATGCAAACACCACATCGTTAGCAAAAGACGTAACAAACAGTTTCTGAATTTCCGCCAGGCAGCATTCGAACACTTTTGCCATCTGAGCCAGCCAATCAACCAGCCCGCCAGAGCTTGCTCACTATCTGACAAAAAGTTAACCTGGATGTTTGAAGATGGATTTTTATTTTAAAGTGAAATTCAGAACTTGCAGTTTTCATAATTTAAAAAAAATAAAATGGTCCAAATTATTTGGCAAGGGCAACATCAAGTTTTATGAAAAGTTTAAACTTGCGTAACGTCACGGTAATACATACACAGGTGTTTTCATAGATATATTTTTAGGTTGAGACACAGTACAATTTTTTGTCTATCATTGTTTGACTGTATCTCTGAGTGGGATTGCAATCAATTGTTTTTCATTATCTTATCTAGCAGACAATAATTACATTGACTTTTAATTTTCTGTTCAACGACAACTACGTATAGAATATTGAATTCAAATTGCAACATCTATTTCAATAAACATTATCTAATTGATACGAATGTTATCATGGAAGTGTTATAAAATTTACGGTGGTTATAGGCTAAGTTTGAATATAAAATTACACGACATGCTCGTTTTTTGAAATCAAAGTCAATATGATTCGCGAAACTACGCTGCTTGTTAGCTTGTGTTTGTTGTTCTGTGCTGTTTCGAAAATTTCCTCCCAAGGTAACATTAGAATTGAAATCAAATTTCAACAAAAACAGTATTCAAACGATCATAATTGAATGAATTGGATATTTTTTGAGAAAACATATAAAGGGCATAAAAATAGTGTAACAAATGTATACTTCAACAGAACATGAAGGCAGACTGCCGAGAACTTTCCTTCCTTCGCATTACAACCTCTACCTGGAACCTCACCTAGAACTCGATAAACCACCATTCCCGTTAATTGGACAGGTCAAGATTTATTTCAAATGCGTCGAGAGGACAAACAATCTTACACTGAATGCACTAGGTTTGTTTGATTTCTACTTTAAAAATGTTTAAATTACTTGATTTATCGTAAATCGTTTATTTTTTGAGCATCACGTTTTATTGTACTGGCAATAACTTTTAACAGTAAAAGTAACAAAAACTTTCAAACACTAATTAACTGTTTTATTGAACAATTTAAACAAAGGACTAGAATTGGGCATCGCCAACATAACTTTGAAGCAGCTGACGATATCTCAGAACCACTCCGTACCCAGGATCAACGTCCTCATCATCAACGACTACAAGCAAATCATTCGCATGATAGTCGATCGGGAGTTCCAGGCGGGCTTCCAGTACACCATCACCATCGACTACAAAGCTAACCTCACTGAAAATGGATATGGAATGTACGCTGTTCCCTACCTCGATAAGAATGGACGCACCAAGTAAGTGTTAACCTCATCGTTACTGTGTCTCAGGGATTAATTAGAATTTTTAAACTTATAATACCTTAAAACGTTTAAAATAATTTCACTTTAATTCTGTTAACTTTCGTCATTTTATTATCTCAACAAATCTAAAATCAAATAACTATAGTAACCTAATATAACATTTAATCTGCAATTCTTTTTGATGATCAAATCTGTTTTTAAATAAGGATAATTTAATTTGACGACGTGTCATGTTAAAAATTTCTGGACATAAAGATATTTAGTAGCGACACAGTTGGAGTCGATAGGAGCGAGAAGAATGTTTCCAGGTTTTGATGAGGTGGACATGAAAGCAACCTTTGATGTCATCGTTTCGAGGAGGATGTCACACACGTCACTCTCCAACGCTCCAATCGTCAGCACACACGCTGGGTTCTTTTTTTTTCATTTCGCTCCTTCTCAATTTGATTTTTATTTAATTTATGCAATCGTGCAATTTGAAAAGAATAATAATTTTAAATTGTCGGCAAAATTGAATATAGGGAAAAAATATATGAAACTTATTAACAAGCTTCTTCAATCAAAAATTTAATGAAGCGCCGAAGGTTGGTTGAACGATGTCTACGAGCGAAGTCCGTTGATGAGTTGTTACTTGCTGGCAATCGTCGTCGGAGACCTCCACTACATGGAATCCAAGGTGGATGCCAGCACCAAGGTTCGAATAATCAATCAATCATTAATCTAATAATCACGTGACCGACCACAAAATTTAATACAATCATGAAATACATTTTCTGCAAAGTTCGTTCATTTAAAGGCCCAAAGAAAAAATTAAAATAAATACAAAACATAGCCAGACTACGAGAAACATTTTGTATTATTTTCTGCTTTTATTCTGGTTTCTAATATAACCAACATTCTTCAGTTCAGATAAATTTTTAAAATTTCGTCCATTTAAATAATCGTTTTTAATATGAAAATTTAGTTAAACAGAATATGGTGAGTAAAAAAAGTCATCTACTTTTTAAAAGTTTTCAAGCCCTCTACAAAAATTATTATTAGCAAGACCACATACGCCACATATGTATTATGCTACTTATGCAGCGATAGTTATAACGTCGTTATATTTTATTTTTCACCTTACAGTACAAAGTGAGAGCTTACTCTACAGAGCGATATGTCCCCTACATCTACCACCCCAGCCAGTATTTCACGGTTCAAATTCAAAAATGGTTGGAAAAAGAAACAAATGTTCCTTACGCTCTAAAAAAATTGGGTATGTCGTTTGTTTTGCAGCATCAACAAAATTAATATTCAGAATATCTGGAAAAATACGCCAAAGTGTTACTAGAAATAACTTTAATGTAACAATTTCAGATCACATAACTATTTCGGTGATTGGTGGAGCCATGGAGAATTGGGGCTTGATTATTTACGCGGAGAACGTTCTGCCGATGAGCAACCAGACTTCCACAGCTTCCGGCTACTACACAACAGCATTCATAATGGCTCATGAACTCTCCCACATGGCTAGCAAAATGTTTACAAATAGTTTGATAAACATTAACTAACAGGAATCGCCAATAATTATAGAAAGTCATTTGTGTTTAGGTTACAAAATTTGTGATACTGTTTGCTAAACCGAATAGTCCTGCTAACAATCTTTCAGTTGCTGCAGACGCCTTGGTTATTTATATCCATGGTAGACGCAAACCATACCTCCATTTTTACAATTATGAAACAAGTCATTATTGAAACTTTTAATAAATATTTTATTTCTCAACGATATTTCTATTGGACACCTGACAGTGGTACGGCAACTTGGTGACGTTCGAGTGGTGGACAGACGCGTGGCTGAAGGAGGCAATCGCTTCCTACTACAACTTCTATCCACTGGAGGCTCTGGGATGGAACGGGGTAAACATAATCATTCGATTCACTTGGTCATCTCACTAAATATAATGTGGCATAAAACATGATGTACAGGCTGAATTGCATCAGTTGGATGGGGTGGTGCCCTACATGGAGTTGGATCAGACAAACAGGTCAACACCGGTCAGGATAGTCATCAAGTCACCGCAAGATGCGTACCAAGCTTTTGCCAAGAGTACATACATTAAGGTTATAATCCTACCTATAGAGTCATAATTCCACAATGAAGCATCTTTTTATAATTAAAAACTGTTAAATTTCATTCGCGAATAGTCGTTTTGATTTTTATTTTGTAAATTGAAAAACAAATTTCATTAAACAAAATGATAAACTGTAAAAATTGTAATAGCCAACTAGAAACAGCTGAAATGCAATTACGACAAATCCAAGAAGAATTAATTTCAAATAATGAATCATAAAATTACTAAGGGAGGATCTCTGATCCGAATGATGGGACAAATTATGACTGTGCCTGTCCTCAAACTGGCTCTAACAGTTCGTCTTCATACATAATTTTAAACAAAATTTCTCGCTTTTATCACAAAAAAATTATTATCTAGTATATGTATAATATTTTTATATTAATGTAGTAATTTTAAAATTACTGCATTGCTTATGGTCTTTTACCAGAATATTTATATTATTATTATACATTATTAATTAGTTTTATTTGGATACTTTAATAAGTAAAACAATTGATGGTAAAATCGAAACAGAGATACCTGAACAAATACCAGTACAGTGTGGCGAACAGCGACCAGTTCCTGCAAGTCTTAACCGAAGTTAGGATTCACCGCGTCAACTAACGATCATTAAATGATATTATGATGCTACATTATATTCTAGTCTACAAAACTGTTTATAAATAATTTGAGATTAATCAATCAACCAATCAAACAACTTTACCAATCAATCAACTCACCAACCAGCAAGCAAAAGACAGCGGGATAACTTATCCGGATGGTAGTACCATCAACTTCAAGACGCTGATGGATCCCTGGTTGGATCAGAAGGGATTTCCCATCCTGAAGGTAACGACAAAAAATATTTTTTTGCCTAATTCAACAAGTTTACTTTTTAGAAAATGTGAGAAATATGAATTATGATAGCGTGTGAATAAAAATGAAATTTATTGAAAAAAAATTAACTGTTGAAGATTATTTGTTATAAATTAGCTGATAAAAATTATTTATTCATAGGTGGTGGACAACAACGACGGGACAGCCACAGTAACCCAGCAACGTTACTTCAACCCGTCCAACCAATCAGATTCCGTGGTCAGTCCCTACGGGTTGGTACTCTAGGTCTATAAATGCGTCCATGAAAGAATGAACTGATAAGTTACTTAATTATGAAACGTTGATTGTAAATGAATTAGTAAGCCAATAAAATTAGAATTAAGGATTTGGTTTAATTAGGTTTTGACATGAAAGTGCTGCTCAAATAGAGACCTTTATTATTCATTGTGACTCAGGTACAAGTGGGACGTACCTATCCACCTCCTAGATGACAAGAGTTCCCCGGCTGATTGGAACAAAACTCCAAACTACTGGCTGAGAAAGACTGATAAAGGTTTTTTTAAATAATGTTAAATATTTGAAAAATTGTAAAATAACCACAACTGCTCATGTCCACTATTAAGTTTGTTCCTTTGACGTGGTTTCAAGTTTTGGTATAATGATGAGTTAGTTATCTTGCTAGAAAAATTAGTTGTTGAAATCAGAATTTGTAATTGGGTTTTCTTGAATAAGTTTGTTCGTACTTCTATTTAATGCGCAATTGACAACTGTACGTACATGCACTCAAAAAATTATATTTCAGATTATAGTATTTTTTATTTTTTATCAGAGTTCTTCAATTACACTCAAAGTTTATTTTGTACAATTAACTGAAGCAGAGCACTGATTGACTTTGTTATATTAAAATTATTTCCAGAAATCAAAATTAAAATCCCGAAAAGCAGTTGGTACATAATCAACCCGGATCAGAAATTTTATTGCAAAGTTTTCTATGATAAGAAACAAAGATCTCTTCTGGCACCAAACCTTATGGTTCATACATTTTAAAAAAAAATTTGATTAAAACTTGATTAATTGATTGAAACCTTTTTTAAATTTAAAAAGAAATTACCGGTTGAAACCAGGGCAAATATTATTGACGACACTTTTGGCCTATCGAGGTTAATTTTACACTGCTTAGAATTTGATCGAGCTGATGGAAGTTCAATAAATGTATCAAAAAAAGTAGTTTGATAGATATTGTATGCAAGTGATTAAAAACTCGACATATGGATGAAGATTGAAAAACAAAACACCAAAAAGCAATTCACTAAATAAGAAATTTTAGTAGAACATTAGAGTATTATTAATTAATAAAGGGTTCAGAGGCAAATGATCAGAGTAAAACTTGTGAAAAATCCCACAGGAACGCGTACTACGGAGCCACCGACGCTTACGACAACACTCTTTCAATAGGAAGTGATCCATCTTATAATGTCTGGAGTTTGACCTTGAGGCACGTGTATGACCTTGAAGCCTTTTACAGGAAGGAAACTTGGTTTGCCAAGCATACGGTTAGATTCGTTGATTATTTTAGCAAAAAAACCTTTTTTTAAAAATTAATGAGCCTTTTTATAAAATCAACGCAACGGTCTTTAAGGGTTAAACGAAAAAATTATAACAATCAAATCAATGAAAGACAATTGTAAATGTGCGTATTTGATTTTGACCAGATTCTTAGAGCTATTCGTTAATTAAATATAAACGAAAGAACGATTAATTGAAAAATTATTTTTTGTGATATAAAACATCTCAAAAAGAAATATTAGAAAAAAATTTGAAAAGCTGTTCAAAGCTTACGATGAAGTTTGTCATTTCAGACATATTTTGCCAAACACGCCGATGCACTGCTGAAAGAAGTTGGATATGAATTTAAAGTTGGCGAGCCCATATCAGATACGTGAGGAGGAAATTGCTGATGTTATTATTTGTAACTTCCAATTTTTATAATTTTGTTTATAAATTTATTGAACATTTTTTTACTCAGTTTATTTTCTAAATTTATTCTACGAATTATTCTGAAAAATCATTCAAAATTATTTTTCATCAGTTTCTTAAGACGAGATGGAATATCAGCCGCATGTTGGTTCAAGAGCAGCACTTGTTTGCAGTACATAAGGACGAAGTATCAAGAGTACAAAAAGAATCCTAGTCTCAACTTGTTTGTATTCATCTATATGTATCATGCTTGCATATAAACAGTCAAAGGTTCTAGAAATTCTGTGATTTTATGAAATGTAATGAACATTTTTTGAAACAAATGTATTAACTCAATGGAGAACATCCAAATCACACCACAAAAATCCTGCAGAGTAAACGCCAACCTCCTGCCGACCACATTGTGTGACGGTGTGGCCCAAGGAACGACTGCAGATTGGAATTTGATGGCCAACGAATATGGAAAAAGGAAGAACTCTCCCATCATGGAAGAGAGGCAGAGTCTCTTGTATGCCCGTACCTGCACTCCCAGAGAAAATGAATTGCAACAGTTCACTTTTTTTTATTGTTCACTTACTTAAAAATATGTTTCAAGTTGAAAAATTACAGAAATGAATTGAACGTTTGAAATTTTGAATTTTTTTACTTTGAAAAGGATTTTTGACGAGCTTCTGAAAGGAAATGGTACTTTCTTCAACACAGCTGACCTGGGCTCTGCATCCATCTACCTGGCAGGCACTCAGTACGGAGCCAGAAAATACTGGGAGTACTTGAATAAAAACTGGAAAACTTTTCCAAATCAGTTTCGTTTATTTTCTCAAAATTTTTTAGAAATTTAATCAACATTAAAGTTAAAATAACAACGGTATGTTTAAATTTGTGTTTCAGTCTGAACAAATTATCGATAATGTCTGCCATTACTGAGACATGGTACACGTTCGAACAAATTCAACAGGTTGGTTTGAAGAATATCTTTAACCTTTTGACTTTCACATTCAGTGAATGCATGGTTTTACAGACAAATTATTTGCTTTTATTTTAACATGTCGTCATAGATTAAACGCAAACCATCATTTTTTAAAATTATTTTCTTCATATTTTCATCGTAAATTTTTTTCATTATTTGATTACTGACTAATATTTGTTTAAATAAACGGATAATTTTTAAAAATTATTAAACATTCTTCCCATATCAGTTGAAATCCTTCCTAAACCAGCAAGAATTGACAGCTAACGAGAGGTTGATGATGAACGAATATTTGCTAAAGACCGAACAAAACTTTCAATTTTACCGAGACAATGCAGTCGAGTTAGGTTGGAATTTATCATTAACGCCATCCTTTGTCATCGTCATCTTCGTCATCAAATTTGTTGCTGTCGTCATCTCTTCCATTTCATTTCCTGTTATAGGGCCATTAAGATTTACTTAATTTTAAGATTATTTCTAAATTTTGATATGAATTTTCAAATTTTGTATGCGTTCTCATAAACAAAAACTTTACAACGTTAGGAAAATGGTTCAACAAACAGTCGCACAGCGATGAAGAAGATTTTGAAATGACGTCACTGGAACGGAGACCAATCAGAATGCCTGATTTTAAGATGTGGAACACTATTGGCCGAAGTCGCATTGACAAGTTTTTTGAGAGTAAGGGAAGACACGTGGAGATGGAGTCTGCGATGTCTGTCAAAAAAATTATATTTAGCAAATAATTAAATACCGACATAACATATTATTCTCAATTAATAAACAACTTCATCAGCAAATTTGTTTTATCTTTCAATTATTATTTCATTTCTGAGAAAGAGATGTGTAGTAAAATCACGTCTATATTTCTTATAGTTTGCGAATTTGTATTTTTTATAACCAAAAAAGTTTAAACATCAAAAAAATATCAAATAAGGGGTAAAATAAGGAGTTTGCTTGGGGCACGTTTTGTAGTCTATAGGCCTATGTCACCCTGTATATGATGATCGTACATAAATAATGGTTGATATGTTTGAAGCAAATAAATGTTCAAAGCTACCTTCTAGGATTGTTAACATAAATAATAATAATATTATCGTTTTTATAATAACAATTATTATTATTATTGTTATTGTTTTTATTATTATTATATTAGCTGTTGCCACCCAACGTTATTTTAGTCGTAAATAATTTAAATTGGAAAAATATTTTCGTTAAAAATTACAATGAAATGGCTGTGAAACGCCAAGTAGAATCAATGAATAATTTTTTATGTTAATAATAATAATAATAATAAAAATAATAATAACAATAAGAATAAATAATAATAAATATAAAATAATAATAGACATAATAATAATAAATAGGAATAATAAATAATTAATTTCCTTTGAATGAACGGGTCTGACCGCGCTTATAATATAAATCAATAACTAACAATAGATGATAATAATAATAATAATTAAACATAATATTAATAATAATAAATTGTTATACAATCAATAATGCAGGTGTGTGTATAAAAATCCAAGCAAAAAAGTTGAATTGAACGTAATGAATTTAAAAAATTAACGATCATAATTGTAATATTAATAAGTATTTGTGGTAAGAATTGTAATGAAAATTAGAAAAGAGTTTATCATTGTTTACTTGTATCTCTGGATGCGATTAAATTCAATTGTTTTTCGTTATCTTATCTAATACATTGACTTTTCTACAATGGTTGTATGTAGTCTAATGATAAAACGTTCTGATTGAAAATATATTTTTAAATGCGTTATCAAATTTTAAAAATAAATTATCAAAAACGTCTTATCACTGCGTTAAGCTTTTGAATGTTAATTATAAAATGCGATGATTTGTTCGTTGTTTTGAAATCATGTCCAATATGATTGGAAGAACTGCACAGCTTGTTAGTTTGGGTTTGCTGTTTCTCTCAACTGTTCCGACCATTTTCTGTCAAGGTTAGATCCAGAATTAAATTGAAACTAAAACTTATACAAGAATGAAATGAAATATTAAAACTTTATCAAAATTACAAGAACAAATATAATACAATCTTTTGAAAACAAATTTATGAAATTTTAATAATTTTGAAAAATTAAAAAATTAACTATATTAAAACTTCAACAGAACATGAAGGCAGACTTCCGAGAACTTTTCTTCCCACGCACTACAACCTCTACCTGGAACCTCACCTAGAACTCGATAAACCACCATTTCCTTTAATTGGGCAGGTCAAGATTTATTTCACATGCATCGAGAAGACGAACAATCTTACACTGAATGCACTAGGTCCTATTGATTTATTTGTGTATATTTAATTGATTAATTAACCTAGTATAATATTGTTGGGTGCGTTGAATTGTCATGTCATTGAAAGACCTCGTCGAGAAGGTTGATTGGCAAATTAATAGCGCCTATATTGAACAACTCCCGTTTCATTTAACTGCTGACAATTTTTGTTCAGAAAGTCCGGTCCATTTCTGCCATCTCTCATCTGAAGTTATTTGAAATGTCCTATAGATGAAAGTCTAATTACTTTGTTGCCCTTTGCTAAACTAAATTATTTTCATCAAACAAACTGAATATTGAAACGTACAAAATTTGTTATGGCTCTACATTTTTTGGGGGAACAACCCAAAAAATTTTTCATTTGTCATAGTTTTTGCTCATATTATTTGTAGTAGTTTTTGGTGTATTTTTTGATGTGTTGCATGTGTTGTGTTGTCTTTTTTTTTGTCCATTCTTAATTGGCGCAATTTTTTGTTCTTATTCATACTTGCAACTTGCAGTTTTTAAATTTTGTGTCCTATCAAACAGGACTAGAATTGGGCATCGCCAACATAACTTTGAAGCAGCTGACGATATCTCAGAACCACTCCGTACCCAGGATCAACGTCCTCATCATCAACGACTACAAGCAAATCATTCGCATGATAGTCGATCGGGAGTTCCAGGCGGGCTTCCAGTACACCATCACCATCGACTACAAAGCTAACCTCACTGAAAATGGATATGGAATGTACGCCGCTCGCTATCTCGATAAAAATGGACGCACCAAGTGACTTCATTGCGCTATTTATGATGATAAAGTTGAATTCAATTTTTCTAACCGCATACAAGCTAAAACTTGTTTTTAATCCAAATATTATAATTTCGATATAAAATCATTTTTAAAAACTTCGATACAAAGGTATTTGGCTGCCACACAGTTGGAGCCGATTGGAGCGAGAAGAATGTTTCCAGGTTTTGATGAGGTGGACATGAAGGCAACCTTTGATGTCATCGTTTCGAGGAGGATGTCACACACGTCACTCTCAAACGCTCCAATCGTCGGCACATACGCTGGGTAGGTCGTTTGACTTCATGTTCATTGCTTTAAAACTCCTCTCAATGCAGTTTAAGAAAAATTGAGCACATACTTATATAAGTTTCATCATTTTTGTAGTTAAAGGATTTTCTTTACTAGCGCAAAAAAATTATAATTTTTCAGTTGCATTGGCAGGGAAGGACTGCTTCCTTCACCAAAAACGATTTTTGAAACTTGTTGGGAATAGTTTTTTTAATTATTCTAGCTTTTCTTACAACAAGCAATTTCTATGATTTAATGGTTTTTTCAAATACAAAAATACGTGTTGAGCAAAACACTTTTACTAACATTTTCAAAACCTCTAAAATCTGTGGCAACAAATTTCAGATGACGCCACTAGATGTTTCAAATATGTTGCAAATTAGTTTAAAATAATTGACAAAAAATTAAAAAACTTATTAAAATTAGCAAGCTTCTTTAAACAAAAATTTAATGAAGCGCCGAAGGTTGGTTGAACGATGTCTACGAGCGAAGTCCGTTGATGAGTTGTTATTTGCTGGCAGTCGTCGTCGGAGACCTCCACTACATGGAATCCAAGGTGGATGCCGGCACCAAGGTTCGTCGCCGGCACGGACAATTGTATTAAATTGTATTAAATCACATTAATGACAACTGCGAAATGTTCCAGCCACAAGATATAATATTGGCTTGATTTTTAAATATTCACGATGTTGAATAATTCTGCTGAATTGCTCAAATTAAAATTACATGAAGTACTCTAAATTGCAAATACAGAAATAGTATTTTCAATTTTTCAGTACAAAGTGAGAACCTACTCTACCGAACGTTTTGTCCCCTACATCTACCACCCCAACAAATACTTCACGTTCCCAATTCAAAAGTGGTTGGAAGAGGAGACAAATATTCCTTACGCTCAAAAGAAAATGGGTTTGTTGCTTTTTTAATTCGTATAAAGTTGATTTTTGATAATTTAAAAAATAATCCGAAACATTTTCAAAGTACCGAGACCTATGATAATTGCTGATCCACTTCCAGATCACATTACTCTTTCGACGTTTGGAGGTGCCATGGAGAACTGGGGACTGATTACATACGCAGACAATATTTTGCCAGTCAGCAACGCCACTTCAACGGCCTCTGGTTATTACACGTCTGCGTTTGTAGTTGCTCACGAACTTTCACACATGGTTAGTGAAAATGTTTTGGAACTTCATGCTTAAATACTAACTTTTTTAAAATAATTTTTTGATGATTAAAAAACGTAAAATAAGTAAGTTGTAATTTTTAATATATGCCGTACAAACCTTGTAAACTAGTTATAAATCACGTCAATTTATTCAAGTGGTACGGCAATTTGGTGACATGCGAGTGGTGGACACACTTGTGGCTGCAAGAGGCCATGGCTTCCTACTACAATTTCTATCCACTGGATGCCCTTGGATGGAGAGGGGTGAGTTTTTGCAACGACTCACTTTGCCAGGACGCTCTCAAAATTTGCTTTAAATTAATTTATTGAAAATTACATTAAAAAATGTGAAAAAAATGACTGCCCATCAAATATTGGACATAGGCCGAATTCCATCAGTTGAACGGCGTAGTGCCCTACATGGAGTTAGATCAAACAAACAGGTCGACACCGGTCAGGATAGTCATCAAATCACCTCAGGAGGCATCACAGGCGTTTGCATCGAGTACATACGATAAGGTCTGATATTATAATACCTTATGGTATCATACAGTATCACGTAACACCACTAACGTCACTTTATTTCATCGTATAGAGCATCCTTCAGTCATATTCCATTGTATCTTGTCATCACCTAGGGTTGTTCAATAATATCCTATTGATGATATTTTTTTATTATGCCATATACTGTCAGTTCGTTATTATTTCAAAACTTATGTTTCACTATTTCGCTTTATTATGTAGTGCAATTTTACTTAACATAGTTCGATTATTCTCACAGCAGATTTTGCGTGTGCAGAGTCATTTTAACTTTTTGAAGAAGTCTTGGTTGAGTTCAATTCAAAGATTAAATATAATTTATTGGAAAAAATTATATGCTAAAATTATTGAATGAATAAAAAATAAATATATAATGAACAAATATTGACAAAGGGCGGCTGCATGATCAGAATGATAGGACAAATCCTGACAAAGCCCGTTCTTAAACTGGCCTTAACTGTTTGTAATCGCTAACCATTATTATAAAATATCGATAATTATTATAAAAATTATTATTAGTATTATAAAAAGTAAAACTGAGAATAAGTTAATTTTTGTAAAAATAATTTAACGAAAAATAAAAAATCAATAATTTTTATCTACACATTGATTGTTTGATGAGTAATTCTTCAATGTTAATGTCCATCAGAGATACTTGAAGAAATACCAGTACAGCGTGGCCAACAGCGATCAGTTCCTACAAGTTTTTACCGATGTTAGAAACCATTTTTTGCAATTATTTAAATTTTTAATAGATATTAAAGGTTTAATTGGTCCAAATTATCAAAATAGTTTTCTTGACAAATAGAAATGTTCTTAAATGTCATCAATAGAAGAATCAAAATCTATTAGCAATAAGATTATCTTAAAATTTTTCATTACCGTTATTATTATTAATATAAATTTAAAAAACTGTTAATTTACTAAAAAATCAACCAACCAACCAGCAAGCAAAAGACAGCGGGATAACTTATCCGGATGGTAGTGCCATCAACTTCAAAACTCTGATGGATCCCTGGTTGGATCAGAAGGGATTTCCCATCTTGAAAGTAACGACTACAAATATTTTTTGCCTAGTTCAACAAGTTTATTTTTTAGAAAATGTGAAAAATATGAATTATGATAGCTTGTGAATAACAATGAAATTTATTTGGAAAAAATTAACTGTTGAAGATTATTTATTATAAATTATCTGATAAAAATTATTTATCCACAGGTGGTGGACAACAACGACGGGACAGCCACAGTAACCCAGCAACGTTACTTTAACCCGTCCAACCAATCAGATTCCGTGGTCAGTCCGTACGGGTTGGTAATTGATAATTAAAATGGCGAATTATGTTACCGCAGTTGAAATATTTGTAAAAAATGGAATAGCATTATGAATTATTAAAACATTGCTGACTGTATGAATGAACAGAATACAGACAAGAAATGGAAGAGAAAGTGAAAATTTTATCATGTTTTTAAAATTTCTAAATTGATTAACTGCGCGATCATTTAGTTTATATGAGTGAAACAAGCAATTATCTATAAAATTATTTTGATCTAATTGGTAACTTGAGTTGGATTAGTAATGCTGGCCCTTAAATGCAAAATCACAACAAAAACATTTCGAATCCAGATACAAATGGGACGTACCAATCCAAGTCTTGCATAGCAACAGTTCAACTGACTGGCTCAAAACTCCAAACTACTGGCTCAGAAGAACTGACAAAGGTTATTTAAAATAGTATAAAATAAATAGTTGCTTCGTAAATTATGTGACTGAAAATAAATATTTCAAATTTAGTGTGTATTGTTGACTGGGTGATATGTTGATATTTGTTTATTTGTTCTACTAAAAATAATGACAAAAATGTTTATCAATATTTCTAATCATGGTACAATATTTTTTGTTTTGAATTTTCAGAAATCAAAATAAAAATCCCGAAAAACAGTTGGTACATAATCAACCCGAACCAAAAATTTTATTACAAAGTGTTCTACGATAAGAAGCAAAGATCTCTCATGTCACAAAACTTGATGGTTCAATATAATTTTTTAAAACAAATTTTAAAAAAACTTGATATCTACTGTAGTTATAATAATTTTTCAACTTTAAAAACAGAGCGTGCCTGTTGAAACCACGGCTAACATTATTGACGACACTTTTGGGCTGTCAAGGTATGAATAAATTTATTTGTCATTTTTGAATTGGACGAAAATAAATTGAAATAATGTCTTATTGGTTCAGCCTCCGGCCGTTAAGTAAATTAATGAAAAAAATTTCCTAAAATATCGCAGGAACGCATACTACGGAGCCACCGACGCTTACGACAACACTCTTTCAATAGGAAGTGATCCATCTTATAATGTCTGGAGTTTGACCTTGAGGCACGTCTATGACCTTGAACCATTTTACAGGAAGGAAACTTGGTTTGCCAAGCATACGGTTAGATTTGTTGAACAATTTTTAATTGTGGACGATGATGAAAATAATATTAAATAAGGAGTCAAATCGAGGATAATCGTCGTTTTTAATGACAGAGTAGTTATGGAAGCAAAAAAATTAAACCAGAATTCTCTGGCTATTTACTGTCAAAATACTTCAACAAATAACAATATTGTAATTCAATTACCTTAAAAATTTTTTTTGTAATTTCAGACATATTTTGCCAAACACGCCGATGCACTATTGAAAAGAATAGGATATGAATTTGCAGTTGGCGAGCCCATATCACACACGTAAGAACGTGTAAACGTGTTGTTGTAACGTATTATGTTGATGATTTTAGACGCAAATTTGTTTGGTGATAATAATAAGGTGCTTGACTCTGACTCGAGATCAAAATGCAAAGTTCGGCCCTCATGTAGGCACCAATGATGACCCCTGCATGAAGACACATGTTTGATACTTTGTTCCGCTGATGCTGCAAACTTTTTTGAAAAGTTGAATTTAAGCCGTCTCTGAATCTACGCATTAAACTTCTATTTCTATATTTTATTAATTTTTAATTACTTTCTACTTATTTAAATATTGTTTAGATCTCAAGACCCATCCGTTTGCAAAATTCACTGAGGAGCGCTGTTGAACACAGCGCTGTTGGAAATAGCGTTTTGCTAACTAATTGATTGATTTATTGATAGTTTAGTTAAAATTATTTACGAATAATTGTAATAGTTATCTAAGACGAGATGGCATATCGGCAGCATGTTGGTTCAAGAGCAGTACTTGCCTTCAGTACATAAGAGCAAAGTATCAAGAGTACAAGAAGAATCCTAGTCTCAACTCGTTTGTATCTATTTCTGTTGGTTGTTGTTGCTTGCATATAAATATGTCCATTGTCCATGTTATGAAATTCTCTAAATTGATGAAATTTAGAGAAAAAACAGACGCATTATTCAAAACAACACATGCCAATAACACCACACTCAACCTACAGAGTGAACGCCAACCTCCTGCCGACCACATTGTGTGACGGTGTGGCCCAAGGAACGACTGCAGATTGGAACATGATGGCCAGCGAATATGGAAAGAGGAAAAACTCTCCCATCATGGAAGAGAGGCAGAGTCTCTTGTATGCCCGTACCTGCACTCCCAGAGAAAATGAATTGCAACAGTTTGGTTTCATTCTTTTATTACTATTGAGTTTTTAGTTATTTAAGGAAACGTTTCAAATTTTGATGTTTCTAAAGTTAAACAAATTTTGTTTCAAATAAAACTTAAATGATGTATTATTATTAAAATTTCATATTTTTATACTTTAAAAAGGATTTTTAATGAGCTTCTGAAAAGCAATGGAACTTTCTTCAACACAGCTGATCTAGGTTATGCATCCATCTATCTGGCAGGCACTCCGTACGGAGCCACAAAATACTGGGAGTACCTGGATAAAAACTGGAAAACTTTTCCAAATCAGTTTGTTTCGTTTTTATAACTTTTACATCTTGAATTGAAAATTAACACATTTAAAATAAGAAATTTAATTTGAAATTTATGTTTCAGTCTGAACAAATTATCGATTATGTCCGTCATTACTGAATCGTGGTACACCGTACAGCAAGTCAATCAGGTAGTGCTTCATAACGCTTCTCAATTATTTTAAAAATCTATCTACATGAATCTTTTTATACCAATTTCTTAATAGCTTTCAAACTAATGGACATATAAAAAGGCTTATGAGCTTAATTTGTTTTCAAAATGAGTTCGTTACATATTTTTCAATTAATTTCAATCAATAGTTTTTTGGAAAATAATATTTTACAATGATAATTTGCAATAAATTTCTATATTTTTGACCTTTATTCTCATTTCAGCTGGCAGCGTTCATAGCGAGACAGGATATGACGTCCCACGAGCGATTGATGATGAACACATATTTGATGAGGACTGAACAAAATTACAATTTCTACAAGAACAACATTGTCGAGTTAGGTTGGTGAAAATCACCATTTGTTGTGTTGACTGACGCAATCATTGCTGTCAACATTCGCGTCATCGTTGGCTATCATCCTCGTCAACAAACACGTTATTACGTCATCATCGTCATCACTCACGGCCTCGTTTTTTTCACAATTCTTGCCATCATTCACGTCGTTATCATCGTCGTCGTCCTTACCATCAAACTAGTTCTTTTGTAATTATCTTAATCTTTCAGTTATTTATATTTCACAAAATGTCTTTTTCTAACTCTTATATAAATATCTGGATTAAGTTTAGTTCTTTGAATTAGTTAAAACTTTAATCCTCTTATTCAAGTCATTTCTTTTACACAGATCTGCGTTATATGGGTTGCGTGCAATTTTATTTTTGTTCAATATTTACAATGTTCATAAACCTGGTAATGTGAATTTAAGGTGGTAACGTTTATGATGGTGATGATTCCCAACGTAATTTAAAAACTAATAATAATAAAGTCACATTATTCATATAAAAATCTTTTCATAATTAGGTAATTGGTTCAACAAACAGCCATTCAGTGACGAAGTAGATCTCAAAATGACGTCACTTGAACCAATTAGAATGTCCGATTTTAAAATGTGGACTACCATTGGTCAAAGTCGCATTGGTAAGTTTTTCGAAAGCAAAACGAGACATATCGAGACAGAATCGGTGATGCCAGAAAGAATTATGTTCCGCAAAGAAAACCAAATTTAATCATTCATTCAATTTAATTGACATTCATTTAATAGTCTTAATTCTAATAAATACTGTCATTCACCTATGTCTATTTTATTAAAACATATGAAATAGTTTTGAGTTTGCCTATGTCTATTGCTTTTTACAAACTAAACCAATTAAATAAATAAGATACTTTGAATTTTTGATTAAAAAAGTTATTATCAAACAATAAAATAATAAATGAATAATTGAATATTCACATATAAATAAACAAATAAGTAAATGCATATATTTACTATTTAGTATAGGTTTGAAAACATGCAGATATACAAAACATACATGAGAAATGAACACATGTGAATTTAGTTAGAACTCATAAAGCAGCGGTCCACACCACACGACATAGGCGCACGTATGATGAAAGTTAAAATGAGTGTATGATTGATCTCAACAAATTGCTAGGCATTCATTCTGTCCCTACTCTAGCACAGGCTTATTGTTTTATTAACATAATTAGGTGTGCTCGGAGATAGCTTAATAATGGGTCTTCGTATTTTACTGAGCGCCTCATGTACAGAAGATTTTTGTTGCTTTGAAAATACTAGGTGCGTCTCTCTCTTACTCTCTCTTTCTCTCTTTCCCTTTCTCTCTCTGTGTGTGTGTGTGTGTGGTGCCTGCGTTTTGAACTGTACAAGTTTGTTCAGCGCAGCGCATGAAATATCACGACACCTACTTATACAACAACTCTAGAAGAAGAATGATCGTTCGCTTGATTGATTGCTTACTTTCGCTTAATTTTTTTCATATTTCTCAATTAAATTTTGTTATATTAATTTGTACTTTCAATGAAAAAAATATAATATTTCTTCATATTACAATTTTGGAAAAAGATTTGAAATAGTTCGACGAGTTTGAAAGTGCCGCTTCTATTTGGAGTTGTCGTTGGTCGTCATTAATATCTGACAGAATGCCTTTTGGATCGTTGGACGATTTTATTATGTGCAAAAACAGTGAGATAAATTAATTCAATTATTAAGACTATTGAGAAGAACAAACAACATTAAATGTTGTATCACTTGAAATAATATCAAATTAGTGATTGATTAGCGTCAGAATTTCAAACTATATCAATGTCTAGATTTATAATTATTGTGGAATCTGTTTTTAAAACTTTAAAATTTAATGAAAAATAAATTTTTTTGAGAATATTTAAAAATTATTACATTAAAGAAAAATTTATTTTTCATTTTAAAAATTTGTCGGTTTTTTGTTAAAATTTTATTATTCTCAAATCCGATTATTTATTAAAAATTATAAAAAAAATTTCCAAACTTTTCCCAAACCTGAAAGGTCCAGGTTCATTGCGGGCGACAGGGATGATGATCCTGATTTGCGGACTGGCCATGCTGACCCTCGGCATCATCGATGTGGTACACTACGCTAATTGCATGACCCAAACTACAACAACGACACCGGCCTCTTCAATCTCAGCCACGAACACCTCAGTAGCATTGAACGCTACTGCAACAACAGCCGCGTCAGCGACGACCAATTCTGCTAATTCTGATTTTGAATTAACACAGATTGGTGCTGGCATCTGGGGTTCCATTCCTGTTAGGGTTTCTTGAAATACTAACTTTTTATGGATTTGTTGTTTGCTTTATATATTTTTTTTCCTGCTTGCTAAATTTTTCCTTGCTATTTTTCTTGCTGCTTCTCTTACTTTGTTTAAGATGGCCATTTTAAAATTATTTAAATCGGTTTTTATTTCAATCAATAAACTTTAACCATGAGAATGTTAGAAACGAGAAAAATTAGAATTTATACAATAATAAATTGAACGTTTAAAATAGTGATAAAATGATTCATCAAACTTGCTTAGAATGATTCAACAGAAATTTGTTAGAATGGCAAAGCATTATACATGCAAAGATTTACGCAGTTGTTCAAACGCAACAACACGTGAAAATTAAATTCATTAATTTGTGGAGATTTCTACTGCGAATGAAACTGAATAATAAAGATTTCAAACACCATCCAACAGGTCATCTTGACTGGAGTACTGGCCAGGCGTGGTCCATCATATCCTGAATACTCGGTGAGAATAACTTTTTGCAGAAAAGAGAATATTTTTATGTAAAATCAATTTGTTAAAAAAACATAACCTCAAAGCAGTCCGATTTTTAATAATTTCGTTACTATTGAAATTATACATTATACATCTTTTAAATGTTGAAAATCTGTTTCGTAATAAAGTATCATCAACTTACATCAATTTTTGTTACAAAAGTAATGAATTTATTAAAAAAACTTAGCGAAAAATAATTTTTTCTATGTCACCAGTTGAAATTTTTGGTCCTGTTAACGTTGGAAGCGGGTTTCGTATTTGCGCCGACTGTCCTCATCATCAGCTCCATTGACGCCAGCAAGGTTCTTATTTGATTGTGCCAACAAATTTAAACATTCAAGTAGAATTTGAAATTTTAGAAAAATTTTATTAGCACACTTAATTTTGTAGCTATTGTTCAATTCAAATAAATGGCTAAGTAGTAATGAAAAAAAACATTAAATAATGTCCAAGGCTATAAACCAGTGGCACGTGTTAACGGTAACTTAATAATTTGAAATTACAAAAATATTTTATTAGCATACTAAATTTTTTTGCTATTGTTCAATTCAAATCAACGTAAAAATTAAAAAAAATTACGTGCATTAGCCACAAATACCGAAATTTTTAGTAACATCTTCAAGTATTAACTACTTTGGCAAAATTGGACACAAACGCTTTACTTAACACTTACAAAAAATGGAAAAAAACAACAAATTGATAATTCATGACATGTACGTACACCCTTAGCAAGTGTATCTGTCCTGCACACAAATCAACAACGTGGCTGTGTCCGTAGCTTTGGCGGTCTTCTCAGGGCTGGCCACACTTCTCATCATGCTCATCAACTATCGCATGTGCTGCTCACACTTTGACAACTTCGTCGATGACGATAACGTGAGAATTATTTTCACTCGTTTTATTTAATTATTTAATTATTCAGTAATTATTTCGGAATCATTATTTAACGATGTAATTCATTAAATATGTTGGTTTATAATGATTTATTTAAAAATTTTTATTTTAAATGATTGAAATAATTTATAATGATCAGTGGCGGATCAAGACAACTGTGACGGAGGAGGGGCCAAGATTTTGAAAAATATTTGACGATCGGAGAGAAGGAATTTCTGAAAAAAGTCGATTGACCTGGGTTGGGGAGAGGAAATTTTAACAAAATCTTGATGACCGGGACGGGAAAATTTTCACGAATTTGTTTTGGAACATTTCTCACAGGGGGCTAACTTTTTTGCTAATGTCAATGTTCCCTTCAAAAACACTACTTTTTTCTTTAAAACAATGACTTTCACTAACTTGAAACACAACGTGGTGGCCATGCCCCCAGCCACCCCTTAGATCCGCCACTGATATATTGATACATTGGCATTTGTCATACGATGGTTTATAAAAACGAGGTAGCGAGCGGTATATTCGCTAATTTGGAAGCAGATGAGGTTCTATTGGTGAAATTTTTCCGCAAAACATTTCATTTTTATAAAAAAGCATCACAAGCCATTTTAATTTCAATTATTTGTAGGATGCTCTAACGAAGCATGCAGTGCGACCGAAAAAGATGTTCAACTTGTTTGCAGAGAAGGATCAGTTCATGAAATCGAACATTCCGAAGCAACCCCTGAACAACAATGGAGTGGATAGGTTGCCAGCCACCCTCCCCCAACCTACCAACACCATTTACGTACCATACAGCATCATGCGCTCAACTGCACCTCAACCACAATATCTGGGGGGACCTGGTATAACTCTTGGTGGAGGTGGAAAACTTATGACTAATAGCCTGTACACCCCTGGATCCATTTATCCAGTGGCCACTCAACAAGCAATTACCCCAGTAGTTGCAAACGCAGCTTCTGTTCAGCAGCTTCAAATGGTGGCTCCCACGAATGGAAACACTTCGAAAGAGCCGCCCTACTTCATAAGTTTCACGGGAGGTGATAGGATCAACACGAACATGTACCCTCAGTTGTACAAGATGGCTTGAGTTTACAGCGTCGTGTTGCTTCATATTGCACTCTCAAGTTATTGCTAAATCAAACAAATTTTATTCTCAGTTATCTTGAAAATAACTTATTGCAATTGAAATTAAACATTTTTAGCTTACTAGTAGGGAACTATTCAAAGTTTTCAAAACATTTTGATAATCTTGAGTTACATTACGTACGAAAGAGTAATGGAAACATCCCAAACTAATCTAAACTCATCGTGTTATTATATAAATAGATAAAAAATGATATCATTTCGTTTTAATTTTTATATATCTAATAATTTATCTAAAATAGATAAAAAACGTTTATATTTCTAATTAACTAACAAAATATTTAGCAAACACTTTCCATAACTTTATTATACATTAACCTATGATATCGCTTTGAGACCTGTAAAATTGTTCTTGTTCCATTACAATTTAAGGCAGTTGAATTGGCGGTCGGGGTATTTTTTCATGTAGTAAAACTTTTTTTTGAATCTGAATGGAACTTATTGAATGAAATAAATTTTTACGCTGAAATCTAATTACAACGTTCCATTTTTTGTAATTTCAATGAGCATTATTTTTCACACATTCTCAAACTTTTAAGAAATAAACATTTAAAAAATGAAATTAAATTCAACCAATTTTGTAATAGACGACTTACTACTAGCAATTAAATAGTATAAAGAAGTATGAGTTATTGAATAAATTCATCTTCTGAGATGAAAAAAAAGTTGAGTGCACAGGTTCAAATATAACTATAAGAAACTTTTTTATTTTATCAAATTTTTTTAGATATATATGCGTCTGAAAAAGATTTGAACAAGATCTGAAAAACTAATGAAGTTAGTTATAGAAGCAGGGTAAAAAAGATACAAGGAAAGTCTATAGTATATAAAAACATCAATAAATCAAATCAAAGTTTCGATTTCGCGATATCCTTAGCACAATTTCATTCAATATCATTAAATCTTAACGACTTGAAACGGATGTTTCCTATTCATAACCACATAAAAACTACTTTGTTCAATACTTCAATTTGTTCCTACATCGCTATTTTCATATAAAAATCGTTTTAGTCTGCGTAATATTAAATTACGGGCACATAATATTAAAGAAAATATTTTATTACAAGTTGAAACTGTGATTCGAACTGACAAGTGAATTAACTAATTAATTGAATAATTAATTGACCAATTAACAAATTAATTGATTGATTAATTAATTAATTAAATTTATAAACTTAACAAACGATAATAAGCCAAAGATAGCGATAATGACTACAATGTGGATGATTTCATAAAGACATTTAAAAAATAAAAAAAACTTTTAATATCAACAATACAGCCAATGAATATTATTATGTTATAATTATATTCTTATTATTTTATTACAATTTATATAATTAATAAATCAACAAAAAATTGTTGAAAAAATTAGGCATTCGATCGAAAGTTAGAAATTCAAAAGATTTGGTTTTGTGGAAAAAAATTAGATTTAAAAATTAAAAAATAGAAAAAGGCACTTTTTATCAACCAATCAACCAACTAGCTAGCAAATCAATCAATCATTCAATCGCTAACCATTCAACCAAAAAACGAGTCAACTGATTTATGAAAATAATTAAAATTGAATCCGTCTAGTTAAAAATATGGTACTTTGAAACTAATTAAAATTAATCAAAAGTAGTTTATCTTATTTTATTTCTAGACCTAAGAAAACATCATTTCACTTTTTTGGTACAAATCAATAATTAATTTCGTTACATAATCAGTGGAAAAATGCTCATTATTTGTTAAACAATTAGTTTTATCTCGTAAATTTCATTTCAATTGCAATTTTCAATCTTAAATGTCACAAGTTTAAAAAAAACTATAAAATATTATCAAATTTAAAACGCGTGAATTGTAAGAAAAAATGTGCGTTTTGGTTGGTGTCGTAAAAATTTTACTGTATTTAAAATTTTAAATTAATGAAAGTTAATTATTTGATTAATAGCTGGTTTCCTACCTTTTCTAAAGTACTTATCAATCATCACAAAACATCAAACACATGATCGAACGTTAAATAGCGATATTTAAAAAAAAATCAACTTGGAAAGTAAAGACAGCAAAGTTCTAGCAACCTAGTGTTACAAATGATTAACAATAAAATCGGCAACAAAGGAATATAGCATATATTGTTCTCATTTAAGTAACACAAATCATATATAACAGTGGTGCGAAGTTTTTGTCATATTTTTTTATAAGTCATTTAATGGTCACGTGGTATAGTAAAAGTCAACTTACTTAGTATTATATATAGAAAGATGATTCTCTCTCTCTCTCTCTCTCTCTTTCTTTCTCTCTCTCTCTCTATCTCTTTCTCTCTCTTTCTCTCAGCGTTGATACGTTATGCAAAAATAGCTTCAGAAGAAGTACAGTCTAAAACTTTAAAAGCAGAGTAAGGCTCTTTTTATTTATAAATATGTTTTATTTTCCAAACGTAGGAAACTTTTGTTAGAAAATTAGTCGTCCAGTTGAAATGTTAATAATGACAATTATTTTAACAAAAGTGTTGATGATACATACATACATTACACAAGTATCAATTAATAATGTGATGGTTAATATCAGGCAATCAGTTCAGTTGAATAGTATTTTCAAATAACATTTATAATGATATAAATATAATATCAATTATTACTATTAGTAGTAGCGTGAATAGTATTATTATTATTATTATTAGTTGTAGTAGTAGTAGTAGTAAGTAGTAGTAGTAGTAGTAGTAATACTTGAAATAATAAAGTAAGCATGGGACTCAATAAACAGTAACATCATACCCCATCATAAACTTCGCTAAGCAGCATATGGCTGGGAAAATTGATTTTTCCAATAAGTTAAATTTAATTAAAATACATTGGTTCCACTTCAAGTAACTCTTTCTTAATCTATGATCTTTTTTATATGAGCATACAGGCTATTCACTCATTCATTCATTAATTCACTCATTCACTCACTCATTCTTTTCTTCATCAATTCTTTTAGTCAATCGCTTTGTATCTCTGAGTTTTTCTTATTCAAATTTAAAATGAATGATTGCGATTTTAAACCGTGACTAAAAGATATTTAAATCATAAAATTAATTTTAAATTAAGCATCTGTTGGTATAAATTAAATACGTGTGACAAAAATTTCAAAATAAACTAAATTAGTTTAAATAAATATTGATTAATTGAAAATCCTAATTGCATGCATCTTAGCATGTCTCAATCGATTTGACCTAATCTACCAACTGGCAGAGAACAGACAGGCCTATTGTCCTTAAATAACATTGAATCTAATGTACCATATTGAACAATGACAGTTTAACGACGTTGTCAATTTATGAAATTAACATTTAGTAACATTAATATTTAATAACGTTGCAGCTCTTGTAATTTGACACTTGCAACCCTCTAACATTACAAGATGACTTGACAGCAAACACATCAGCAGAATGTCACATAGCACGACACAGATTTAATAAGTCAATGAAACATAAACAAGCGCACACCACACACTGCCTTTCTGTCCTGTACACACACACACACACACACACACACCTGCACACCCAGGCAAAACAAACACACACATAAACAAACACACACACCCAGGCAAACAAACAAACACACACAAACAAACAAACATACACAAACAAACAAACATACACACACTTGCATGCAAAACAAAAATAAATGTCATTTCAAATATTCATAATTTAAAAATTGCAATTAAGCGCAAAGAACATCAAAATGGGTGAAGACTGTTTACAATTAGAACCGAGCCAATCATCATCGTCATCTTCACCATCTTTTAATGCATATTAAGAAAATTTTAACTTTCAAGAACGCACTAAAAAGTAGAATAAATTAAAAAAATAAATAAAATGTCTCTTAAAATAATGCAAGTATTTACATTTAATATAATTTAATAGCACAAATTATGTATTTAACATAAATTCATATAACCGTATGAAATTAATAACATTAATTGTACATAATGAAATAATACAAGTACTCAATTATTATCATTATTAAGACAACATCCAGTGAATTTATTTAAGAAATTCCTCATCATCAATGTAGTTGCAGCAGTCCAAGAAGAGGAAGTAGACGCCGCTAAGTAGGGTCAATCCACCCCCGGCCAGGGTCATCCAGAAAGCCCACCCCAAGTGGGTCGTCGTGGCCTCGAGTGGCGAGGCCCCGTAGTCCTTGTTGGCGAACCCTCCAAATACTGCTACTGCTGCCGCTTGCACCACAACTGGGGTGAAAATATTTTAAATTATATTTATTGGCTATCTGACTTTTTTTGATTGAGTAGATGGAATTTGAGATTTTATGAAGTTGAAAATAAAAACAATTTCACTATTGTACATTTTAAAAAAGTTAATACAATTTTTTTTACAAAAGTTGTGCATTTACGATTTGTTCTGACATATACATATATTTTTCTGTATACGTGCGAGTGTACCTAAATAATAGCATATTTTGTTCTGCATATATGTTTGCGTGTGTACGTATGTGTGTGTGTGTGTGATGTGCAACTGTTTATATGAAACACCTTTTTACATGCAAGAACATTCGTGAAAATAGTTAAACTGCATATAAATCAGCTGATAGTGATAATGTCAACCGTACAGGTTTATCAGTCATGTGTCGATCTCAATTAGTTACCAACCAACCAGTCAGCCAATCAGCCAATCAGCCAGCCAGCCAGCCAACCAACCATCCAGTTTGCGATAACGCTATCTCTCCATCCTTTAGTCCTCACGGCATTATCGAGTTGAGCCACTGAGTTTAAACTAGTTTTGTTTACACAATTTTTCTTTTAATTAGTCAATAATTATTTAAAATGCCTACAGCATAACTTATTAAAGATACTGTGTATCTTATATTCATTTTGTCTTATATTCATTTGTTGACATATCATTTTTAAAAGACTTGAAAATGTTCCTTATAATTAGAAAATAATCAGAGGCTTCCACTGCTTTGCTTGCACGGGACCTTGAAACTGTAAGCCCTGCCTGGTGTACATTTGCATCCAACGATGTATTATATAGTGTACAAAACGTATTCTGTTCACGTGACTGCTGGCACGTTGATTCATGAATAATAGATGATTAGATTGCCATTATGCAGGCATGTGCGTGCGTACAACAACCACTCATTACATAAATATCCCAAATGGGATATTTTGATTGTGGGATAGAAAAGAATTGACTTTTCGGTATCATTTTTTATTACAAGCGTAATCGAATCGAGAACGTTTGATAATTTTATTCAAACATTGAAAATTATGATTAATGAATCGGCAGACATGCCTCCTTCACGAAGCAAGCGTTTGAAACATGCCTGTCAACGATTTTAATGATATGTTTATATGTGATTTATGTTTATATGATTTGTATATACAAACACACCCACACACACTCACGCCACACACACACACACACGCACACACACATATTTAACTAATTATATATTTGTTTATTTATTTTAGTTAAATTTAAATTTGCTTTTTATAAAATCAAAAAAAAAGATAAAACAATTTATCTCAGGATAATATAATTATCCTGCATGTCATACAACATTTACTGCTATCAAATACGTACTCCATTATAAGTTTAAAGGATGCATTTGTGGAGTGATGTTCACAAAACTTGTTAGCAGTTCTGAACATGTTCAGCCATGGCCGTGTGAACGATATGGCGCAACGTGGACAAGTAGCAACAAGCAAAACTTTAAACTGTTTGTTGACGATCGTGAGTGCCTTTCCATTAAAAGAAATAATGAGTTCATTCTAACTCTTACTCACTTAATACTCAACATGAATAACGACGAATAGTAAAATTACTAACAACAAGCCTAGTACTAAACACCATAAGCGCTGTAGTAGTAATTTCAACAATCAACGTAGTATTAATTAAAATAATAGCAGTAGTAGTAGCTATAGTAAAAATTTAGTATTCGCGTATGTATTAACTTGATTTAACGATAAAAGAAATCAGAGATGGAAGTTAATTATGTTGTTAGGTTATTTTTTGAATTTTATTGTTTATGTTTTATATTATAACGTTTATATATCTCACTCCAACACTAGCTTACATACACGCATGCATTAGATTAGAGTGATAAACTACACGTACAAATAATTTATATGATAACTACTTATTATTAATTTTAACTTTAAATTATAACATTTTCTTAATAATTCAGTTTTTCAATTTTACCATTCAAGTAAGGCAGGATAAACATGTGTGTGTGTGTGTATGTGTGTGTGTGTGTGTGTGTGTGTGTGGTGTGTGTGTGTGTGTGGTGTGTGTGTGTGTGTGTGTGTGTGTGTGGTGTGTGTGCCATCCGACAACATGAACGGCATGATGGAGAATGCAGAAGTTAATATTGATTCTAAAATGTCAATAAGTTAACGCTATAATGTGGTGTTGTATTGATACTCTCATAGTATAAAAAAACATAATTAATAGTAATAAAAATAATATTAATGTTGTCATTCAATTTTTTAATATTATCTCAACATAATATTTATTTCGCCATATAAATTTTGTCTTGTTTCCACTGACTTCAACTCATAAAGAGTAAACGGAAGATTTGGTTTCAACGAAGGCTAAGAATACGTAAAAACACACAAAAAACTTTATTTGATGTATTAATTGTCATTGTGAGTGTTTCTAAAGTTTAAAATTTTAAACTTTTTTAAAGTTAAATTGTTGATATATTTAATTAGGCGTCAAATGGTACAGACCAACCACACTACGTTGAAGTTATGCGTGTAGGATAAAAAGAAAATCGTCTGATTCGGTTTCTTAATTTAATTTTATAGTATCAAAGCAGCATATGAATTTTTCATATATTTTATTCATCAATTCCAAGCAAATCATGAAAACGTATTTCACAGCATATTTTTGAGAAAAAACATTCTTATGTAATTATTTATTGGCTGTTGCGATTTTTTGGTTGTGCTAGTAGGTGATCTAATCTTACTGAGTATTATAAATAAACTTTACGGCTAATCTTTAAGCTGATCACTCACTGAACTGTCAATTTTATGCGAAACTATCCTAATCAAAATTATTATCATTAATTAATTGAATAATTGATAATTTACAATGTTATAATATTTCAATAAAGTCAAATTGGAAAAATGTATGAAGGCTTGAGCACTGGCGAGCAAATTTCATTGGAGATGAATAACAAACACAACACTGAACGATGTGAATGAAAGATTGTGTGTGAAGAATGAAGCTAAAAACTGCAGACAGCATGTTTATCTTGTTATTTTATATCATCGAACAAAATAAATTATCTTCTTCTTTCTTTTGTTTTTACCTTTTTTTAAAAATCCACGTCTAGAGGGTTTGGAGAAACGTGGTTGTTGTTAACCAGATGAGTTCTTCTTATCACACGTGAACATTTTTAATTCACTTTACAATTAGTTCTAACATTTTCGAAATTGTGTTTGATATATTTTCAGATTTTTATAATTTTTTTTCATTGGAATCTCTAATAGAATGCCATTGGCAGATTATCAAATTTTGAAAATTAATAATGAAACGTAGCGGCAAAGAATTATTTAACATCTTCCACTTGAAAATTAATTTCAAATGCATTTCGTCTGTTTATATGGATAAAAATTTGACGTACATTTAACCACATATCGTCAAGTTCTTAACTCTAGAACTGACAATTCAAAAATAAATATAGTTATACTGAATAAAAATTAAATTATATATAAAATCTTGAAATATGAAAAACTAACATGAAAAAAGAAGTATGAACCCAAGCAGACGATAGACGCACATACGAGTTCTGCAGCAAAGTTGAAGGCGGGAAATAATTTCGCAGAAGAAGACGAGGAAGGCTCCAAGGAAGTAGAGGACTTGAACTGCAACGTGCCAACCTTTGTGAATAATTTGTGAATATTTAAATAAATTAATTGTAAGCAGATTAGTGAATGGATGGATGAGATTGTGAATTAATTAGTTTGAAAAATGATTATAATTGTTAAAAAATCATGAATTGGCAAATGCATGCATTAAACCAGATGTTAATAACTACTGTAAACTGCATCTTCATTCAAAAATAATTTTCAACATCAGATTTGTATAAATAACTACACATACTCTGGCTCATGTTTACCTCAATCTCAACTAATTCAGTGAATTAGCGTACTTTATAGTGCTCTATTTGTATCCGCTGCCTAATTAACAGCATTAACATTACGTTAACATATTCTAAAACAACAACAACAAAAGATGATCGTAACGAACAACAACAAAAGTTTATTATAACGAGAAACAGTAACAACAACACACGGAACCTTACAAGTGATCGTATAACGATAAAACTTAACCTTACTAAATATGCAAATTAATTCCACAAATTTGACAACGTTACCGGGACGAACATTAAAATGAGAGGAACTCATAAATATTCATGATGCGAATTGGCTGGGTCAATTAGTAAAAGTTAAATATGCTTAGTCATCGTTACCGTGTTCATCATCAGTTTAGTCATCATCGTCTTTATCACCGTCAACTACAAACATAATCCATACCAACATAACTACTATTACATACCCAGTATGAGTATACTATTACGTACTTGCATACCTATTTGCATAATGAGGTAACACGTAGCGATGTTAAATTCCATCGGAAACTACACGATGAGAATATTTTAATATCAATCTGTTTTTCCATTATATGACATAGAATTGGTATTATCTAGTGTTCTTTAATAAAGTGCTCATGTTAACTATTACTACCAAACTGAATAACCTGATCTATATAAATTTATTTTATTTTGAGTTTGTTCTTCTTAAAACAGTGTCAAATAACAAATACATTTTTCTGAAAGATGAGTACCGAAAAAAGGAAAAAGCAATTAAAATCACTAATCTTTCAACCAATTGAGACCACTTAACACCAGTTAACAATAATTAAAACCAAAGCTAATATGAACAAAAGAGCGAACCCACCTAGCGGTATGAACTTTTCCTGCTCCAACTTGAAGTTGTTTTGCCAGAACCACTGACAGGTATCGTAGCATTGGGCCCAAAGTCCTCGGTACTTGAAATTTGTCGGTCCCGGATACACGATGTAGGACTGGGTGACGTCGAGGTTCTGCTCTATCGTCGCGTGGCCATCGGCGGGTCGGTGCACGTTGTAGAGCCAGTATGGAGCGAAGAAGCTCACACCGACGGCAATTGTGGCGAATGTCAAGGTTAAGGACCCAAGAACAAACAAGCAATGCTGTTGTGCCATGGTTGCTGCTGTGATTGTTGTTTTTGTTGCTGTTGTTGTTGTTGGTAGTGGCGCGGTTTCTCTAGAGATGGTTTTATTACTTTTTGTCTTTTTCAATTGATCTGGTGGAAAAACGTCAATTGAAATGTGTTGAAAGGAACAAAATGAGTTGGACACGTATATATTTCGTTCAAGGTATTAAGAATTCTAGATTCCAGAACTTACTGCAAATTTTGAACAGTTGAAAAAGTTATGAATAAGTGACAAAAATATTAATTCTAAAAACTAATAACGTTTTTGAAAACAGTAATTATTTGAGAAAAGAAAGCTACGAAGTGCATTTTTTGAGCTGAGCGAGCAACGTGCGCACTCGGGTTTGCTCTCATGTAATTCAGCCTCATGCCGAAAAGAATTCTTCACATGTTAATAATTAATTTAAGACAATGACAATTAAATATTAAATTAAACTGATTGGATAATAAAAACTAAGCAACAACCAACCGACCTTTTTTGTTATCCAATACTATATAATAATTGAAACATTTAATTTTTTACAATAGCAACAGCAACAGATTATTCTGCTGTATTTTTGTTATCATGTTGTGGAAAAATTTTTTTCATGCAATTTCGGTAGTTAGGAATTTTTCTCTAATAACTCATCTGAAGAACGAAAGGAAAGAAAACAAGTAGTTCATACATTCATACAAACTCGCAAACATTCATACGTATATGGATTTATACTTAAATACACACACACACACCCACACACACACACAGGTATATATATATATATATATATATATGTATATATATATATATATATGTATATATATGTATATATATATTTATATATATATACCCTCGCATACACACACACACACACACACGTAAATATATATTTATATGTATATATAGTTATTCAAACATATATACATTCATACACAATTGTACGTATTCATACACATACATACAAATATACATTCATACAAACACACAAATACACACATGCATACATATAATCATTGGATTTGGGAATAGTTGGAAGAAGAAGCAGATATGAAATGTATGAAATTGCGTATATATATATATATATATATATATATATATATATATATATATATAACCCACAAATATATAAATATATATTATGAATTATCTATACATTTAAAGAGAGAAAGAGAGAGAGAGAGAGAGAGAGAGAGAGAGAAAGAAAGAGAAAAAGAAGAGAAAGAAGAGAAAGAGTGGATGCATGACATACATATATACATACATGCATGCAAAGTTATGTATGTATATTTCAATTCCACATGAATGTATCTGGCTGGATAAGCTAGTAGTATGTATGCATGCATTCAGCCTCGGCATCAAAAAGTTTAAAATCATTCTGTACGCGCAACACAAAATTCACTAAATATACATACACCCATCATCATGTACATACATTACATACATGCGTACAGGCATTTTTATGTGCAAATACTTGCACTGTAATTTGAAACAATCATACCCCATAGCATCGGCGGCACATGCACACGAAACAGACAGACACCACACGAATAAGTTGTGGTTATATTTACTATATAAATTTTTATCCGTGTAGGAATTAGAAAGACGTTTTTGAGACTAGAATTAGAGAATTAATATTATTTTCAATACAACCGAAACAACAAGAATTTCAGTAAAAAGTAAACAGTGAAAAGTGAAAACGTTCACTAAGTAGATGCCGTACAAACATTTAAATTTCGCAAAATATGCAGACAGCCAGGCTTCTGTTTTTAAAATTTATATCGGGACAGCTAAAAGTTAGAAAAAACTATTCCGAGCCAAATTCAACGTTAGCAGATATTTATGTAATACATGTTGCATTGGTTATACATTCGTGCTATGTGTATCGTAACAAATAACATACAACATATGCACGACACTTAAAAAAGAATAATTAGTGTACATCTCTGTTTACTAAGTAGAGTACGTTTTGGTGTACAATCTAGGGTAAACTCAAGTGAACATCGTGGAATGCAATGTACACAACTAAAGATGGAATAACTGATACGATGGAATAACTGATACGATTCATTCATGTGTGTCTGCTTGTGCTTCTGGGTAGGATCAGATCCGTTTGTGTAACGGCCTTTTAAACCGTTAACAATGATGATATAAATGATAACAATGATGATGAAAATGTTAACACTGATGATGAAAATGTTAACACTGATGATGAAAACGTTAGTAATGAAAATACTAATGGTGATTTTGGTGATATTATTTATTCTGAGGTTGCTTATCTATAGCTATTAATTTTTTTACAAGTGCTTGTTCTTGTTTTAATTGGCCAAGATGTTCAAAACAGTTGAAGTATTTTTAAACAAAATAGTTACGTCATTTAAGGAGAAAAAAAATTTGAAAGATAAAAATAATGCTTGAACGATTACAAAGATGCAAATAAATAGCAATAATATAGCATTTTAGTAACAGCGACATTTCAACATGACATTTCAGTGACATCAGCTAAAATCAAAACAATCACACAAAAGACATCACAACACATCTTGACATCCTCTAATCAACACATCATCACATCAACACAACATCACATCAACACAACATCACATCAACACAACATCACATCATCACAACAACACAAAAGCATAAAACTCCCGACCATCAGAAAAGTTCACCAGACATCATTACCTCACTAAGATACCTGCATAACTTAAACATTTATTGTATATTTATATGTGTGTGTGCATGTGTGAGTTTGTGTTTGTTTGGTTGTGTGTGTGTGTGTGTTTGTGCATGTTACATAAACGATGATTAATTAACCATGAATAACCATTCCAACTCTTAGAATTGACCATGTGCCCTAATTTTAGTTATAAACAATAGATAAACAACATTTTTAAAATGATTTAGATCACACACACCAAACACACACACATACACCACACACACACACACACACACACACATGTAATTTGTGGGTGCCTAAGAGGTTGTTTCGATTGTGCAGTGATGTGTTGCGATTTGCTGAACAAATGCTATTCTAACTGTGACATTTGTTTGATATCTATTTCAGAACGAGGTTTTTTAGTTTTTCATCTCAAGGCTGTTAGTTCAAAATTTACGAAAAATCACCAAAATTCACCCTAAGTCCCCAAGATTCATCATGGCTCATCATATATCTCTATATTTCGTTTGTCACTAACACTGTTTAAATGTATCTGTCTGTGGTAATTATCAAATATGGAACATATTTGACCTTTGCAAGTAAACTTGTTATAATATAAAAATACTTTTGCAAAATATCCACACTAAGGAACGTTCTTAAATGTATAGCATACAAAAAAAAATCATGTTTTTACCAAGATGAAAATTTATTAAAAAAAAAACCAAAACATAAAAACTATTTATTCATCGTAAGTCTTATTGCGTTGTGATTGGTGGAAGAATCTGAATCAACATCATCGTCGTCGTCATGCCTTCTTTTCAACTTGTAATTTAATATTTAATTAAATAAATGTTTAACTAATTAATCACCTAACCAGTTTGCTATTCAAATAAATAAATCTTAAATTAATTTCACAAGAAAAAGCACCGACATAGTGGGTACATTGCATTCCTTCTCTTACACGTAAAACGCCCAAGACAGATAGATAAGATATAGAATTCCATGATATTTATATATATGCAAATAATTACTATGAGGAACGTGACTAAGAATTGAGAAGGTTGATAATGAATTAATAAATTTTATTAACTAAAATCGCAACAAGTACTACATGCATTACTATTACATTGCTATTACAACAACAACAACTACTACTACTACTGCTGCTACTACTACTGTTATTATTATTATTGTCATTACTACTACTACTACTACTACTACTACTACTACTACTACTACTACTACACTACTACTACTACTGTTGATATTAATTAATTAATTAATTAAATGAATGAATGAATGGTAGATAGATTGGTAAATGAATGGATGTACAGATGGGTAGATGAATATACATTATACGGGCAGTTAGATGGCCAAACGAATTAATAGATAAATCAGTAGACAAAAGAATAGATAGATAGATGGATGAATGGATAAATTGACGAACCGAGAGAGAGAGAGAGAGAGAGAGAGAGAGAGAGAGAGATTAAAGAAGAGAACACACGTGACACGACCTAACCAGGCGATGTAATGTAATGACAGGAAAGGCAATCATGAATCCAATCAAACTCTTTTGATAAACCAATAAATACCTATCGTTCATATTTGCCTGTACACGTGTGAATGTCTTTGTGTGTAATTCTGCTTTTTTGGAGATTTTTGAGTATTTGTATGTTAGTTTATATCTGTGTTTTTGCACTATTAACTAATAATATGTACAATGTATATGTTTATATATTTAGGAGTGTATGAGTGTGTATGTGTGTGTGTATATATATATATATATATATATATATATATATATATATATATATATATATATATATGTGTGTGTGTGTGTGTGTGTGTGTGCGTGTGTGTGTGTGTGTGTGGTATGTGTGTGTGTGTGGTGTGTGTCTATGAGTATATATATATGTGTGTGTGTATGTGTGTGTGTGTGTGTGTGTGTGAATGTGTGTGTGTAGGTTGATTAGTTGATTATAGTGTAACAGGATATACACAATTTTTTTTCCTATATACTTCATTTTAAATTTCTGCATCTGTCAGATCCTGATTTTTTGAAGAATAATAGAAGAGAAATAAAATCAAAACTTGTTGGTCCATTCTATTATAAAGTGCATATATATTCATTTAGTTGTTTGCTATCAGACCGCAATCTTAAAGTCATTGAGCCACAATTACACTATAGAGATAATATATCACATTTAGGAGATAATTAACTCTCCCAATACAGCGTTTAAGCGTGTGTGTATGTGTGTGTGTGTCGGTGTGTTTATTACTTTGTATATGTGTATGTGTGTGTTTTGCTGGAGCTGTGTGATGTTTAGTGGTTTGTGGCGCTACTGCTTTCAATTTAATTAATACGGATATCGACCTTATGAAGTTGTGAAACTTGTTTGAAATATTCTTAGAAAAGTTTTTAACATTCTAATTTGATGCACACTCAGAATGTTGTTTTAATATAACTATAATTTAAATTCAAATAAATTTGCTCTATGGAATCAAAAGAATTCTTGATTGAATATTTATAGCATGAACAATGAGGTGTGCGAGTGGAATGGATGGAGCAATTCAATAGTTTTGATGTTCTGAAGTTGAAATTTATGCACATGAGATCAAAAGATTTATACATCTCGTTGGAGTTTGCAAAGAGATAAATTTCGTAAGATTTTAAACGTTTTTAAACAACTCAAAAATAATATTTCATAACTATAAATTTGATTTGACAAATTTACATTGTATCATTAGATGCATATAGAAAATTCACAACACACACACACACCACACACATACACACACACAAATACACAACCCCAAACACACACATATAGGGCATGTACAGTGCAGGGTATCAGGGTATGTATGAACAATATTAACAAAACAATTACATCATATAACTTGTTTTCTTTGGCTCGTTTTTTCTTCAACTAAATATACCCAAATGCAAAAATGCAAGAAGATAATCTTTTTTTTCTGTTTTATTTTTTAGTTTTTTAAACACTTATTTGTGTTCGCGAAATTATTTTTTGTC